GGCTGTTTCAGCAACAATGCTATTGAACCACTGGCGGTTCAAAAGCAGGTACCCCGAATCCGAGTTGGGCTCAAGTTTCCCACAACCAATTCGAAAGGTCTGTCTCATAGCTTGCCAAAAAAGTATCCACTGTGTCCTGCCTGTCCTTATTTTGGTCCGCCTGGACCCCCAAACAACCCCTTTTTTCTGCCTTTGACCCCAAAAAAAGGGGGTACAAAGGCAGAAAGAAGGGGTCCTTTGGGGGTCCAGGCGGGCATCTCCTGCTGTTCCTAGCCGGAAAGGGGAAACTCCTTCAAGCCCAGGACTCGATCGAACTCAACGGGTCCCATCCCATCACAAGTTGGCCGGAACAGCGTGAGGTTAAAACCATCTGAGGAAATCTTCAAAGGGAACTCTGGGAACTGTCCTTCAAAGCGTTCAAGGTCAGAAAAAGCGCGCCGAGTTGCCACAGAGCCATCCTCCAAGAGAGCAGCAAAGGCATCACTAGTCGCGTGGATCCTTTCAATTGCTTTTTCGTACCCTGGAAAACTTGAAGCTATGTCCAGAGCTGGTATTTTAAAAGGGGGACATGCTTGAAAAAAAAGCCAGAGAACAACAAACAATATTCATTTCAGCAAGTGGAAGGATCTGCCGGATCTGCGCCAAATGGTCTCTCACCTGGCTGCTGTCGCCCCCATAGTCCGGATTGCCCCAAGTCACTGCACCACCTGCAACCTTGGCCAGGCTCCCTTTGCGGCAAAAGTGGACGTGTCAATCTTAACTAGGCTGGAATTAGGACCCCAGCAAAAAAAAAATGTTTTTTGCCAGGTTAGTGGAAAACAAAGGGGACCCCAAAAAAGCAAAAAAGGAAAGGGGGAGCTAATTCTGGGGAAGTTAAAAGGGGAAAGCCAAAGATGTCAGAGCTTCCGGTTGCCTGTATAGCTTAGTTTCAAACAAATTGGCAACCACGGGCCAGTTACAAGTCATAATAGTAGCCAGGAAGCGCAGGGTAAGTTATTAAACCAAAAAGTGCAAACCAACACTTAAAAACCAATGGTCAGAGAACCAAAGTATGACAATGACTTCTGTTAACCTCTGGCTTCCCCATTCGCTTTACCCTCCCACGAAGCAACATGGAAATCCGGCTGTGAATGGGGGCATAAAGCCAAAAAGTGCAAACCAGAGATTGGAAAACCTAAGTCTGAGCTTTGGCTTCAAAGGCCGCAATGGATAAGGGTTGCACTCGCGGGCCTCGCCTCAAAGGAGACTGATTGGTTTCTTGGGCGCCATGACCTGCACAAGTGCCACCTTTTTGTTTTATCGGGCGGCCTGGGCATTTGCAGCTGGGTTTCCCTTCCAAAATGCCGGGGAGTCATATATCGACCCCAGTCCAAAGCTGATACACCTCGCCTACCGGGGCTACTCTATTGCTGAACCAGGTTTGCGAATCCGGGGTTAACTTTACTTGGTTGCCGTAACGACCCCCCTACAAAAAGGCGAATATCCTTTTTTGGGGGTTTAGCGGAAAACACCGAAAGATGTCAACCAAACAGTTAAGGTCCGAAGATCCGTTACCCAATAGCAGTCAAGTTTAGTCATGCAACATAGAGAGCGAAGGCTTCAGCAGTGGAAGCCAACTTCACAGGCTGCACCATGGCATCCACCCTGTCCCCATCTCGCAAGCCCGCCACACCTCAGCGACTCAGCGTTCCGGGCCCTGCGGCCCGAAAAAGTGGATGGCGCCAGTGGGTTCAAAAAACGGTTTGACAGGTCAAGGAGAACAGCTCATAACTAAATCGCCCGGCTGCTGTAAAGCACATAAGTTTCTGCTGATGAATTGGAAAATACACGACTTCTTAACAAAAAGGCACAGGTCGAACTGGGGGTCTCCTCCACCGTCCATTTAAAGGCCAAGCAAAAATTTGGCGCAGAAATGCGCAAAATGAAATTCTGAAAACATCTACAGTGGGCCGATGGACAAAATCCTACACCAAATGAATACAAAGCCTCAGGTTGGCCTGGAATCTCAAAGTTCTTTTGGGCATTCGATTTGGAGGTGACCCCATACGCTAATCAACCCATCCGGTGGAGGAAGGGTTTCTTGCGACATTTGGTGTCCTTTCTTTCACCGTGGTTTCAAGGGACACCAAAAGGGAAATTTCCACCTTTTGGAGGGACCTCCCTACCCCCGAAAGCGAATATCTGCGCTTTAATCGGTTTGTATTTGTGGGAAAATCGGTTGGGTGTCCATGATGAAAAAGCTCTTTTTTGGGGTTGACATGCTACCCTGAGAAAAGCGTGGGTATTTGGAGTAGGGGGTATTTTGACAGATATCTCTCACTTGGCCAGTGACCAGCCAAAAACAAGTGCACACTTTTTGTGCCACGGCTAAAAAAAAAGGGAGAGCCACCAAGGAAAAAAGTGTCCGGCTGGCTGGGTGAGAAATCTAAACAGGCAAGCCACTCACTGTGGCGCGCGGATCTAGCCGCTGCCCTCGAAGCACGAGCTGCAGAAAGCGACGCCCCAAGTGCTGCTGCGCAGCAGACTTCCTTGACTGTGGAAAAGGCAAACCTGTTGGAACCCAAATTTTGAAGAAGGGAATCCAACAATTGAAAAGCCAGCAAGTCAAATGCGAAACATTCTGGATTCCTGCGTGCAACATAGAATTCAACACGGGTAAACCAAAAAGAAACGTGAACGGCTCTCTGGGAAACAACGGCGAAGCCCAATAACTCAAAACGAAGTCAAAACCGAAGCCACTACAAGTGAACAAGTCAAACATCAACAACTATCCAGACCGCAATGGGCATGGAAAACAAGGCAAACTGTCTCTTGGCAGTGGATGTTAGAGGGAACCCCTTGAAACAAAACCCAGAAACATGAAAGCAACCCACGGACAAACATGGGCTCCGACTTACTTGGACGAAATCCATACCACTGGGAAACCATGGTTGAAACCACTGCTTATTGGTATTTGCGGGGGAATGATCAGAAACCAGGTTTCTTAGTGGTTGCGAAATGGATTCGTCCATCCACAGTAGATCAAAAAATAGTTTCTCTTGGAAGGACGCCTCTTGATTTGTAACCGGGTCTTCCGAAACCAGGGCTTCTTTGGAGGAATTCCTTTCCCCAAAGGCTCCTGGGGCTTTCAATGGAAAACCCAACCTTTCCATTGGACACCCGGGTCTCAAAACCAGGTTGTTTGAAGGCCCCAAATCAATCGAATCCGAGCCTCTGGGTAGAAAGAAACCCAAAACGGTGAGCTCCGGCCGACTCCCGACTCCCGACTCCGATCTGAGCGTCAAATGCGCCACCAGCGTCTCCGGTAGCAGCGCGATGGAGCAGCTGCTTCCGCTCAAGAGGCAAACGTGCACTTTCATTGCTTCCATTTGCTTTTCCATCCCCAAGGCTCCAATTCGAGGATTTTGGGGGCCCTCAAAATGAGTTGTTTCAAGGGTCCCGTTTCTTCATTGGAGGGCCCCCAAAAGTGCGTTGGAGGCTCCGGTCATGAGCCTCAGAGCTGGGACAAATAGAGAGGTGCAAGTATAGAATCTATTTTTGGAGGGGACCGCGGACGTCTTGAAGAATCAGCACATCTCCTCATTTGGGTCCTGTAGCCGAATTCTTGAACCACAAGATGAAGAAATCGACCTTGAGTTTGTTTTTGGACATTGAGCTTTCCAAATTCAAATAAGCCCATGAGGAACGCTCCTCGATGTGCGGGGAGGCAAGGACTACCCGAACAGCTGAGCCAAAATCCAGCAGTCGCCGAAAAACATTGACAGGCACCCTCTGTTGGATGCCTGGATCCCCAAAGGACACCTTTTTTTCTGCCTTTTTTTTAGGTCAAAGGCAGAAACAAAAATCGGGGTCCTTTGGGGGTCCAGGTGGTTTGCCCATGAAGGCCACAAGGAAACCGGAAAAACCTTTTCTCACTTCCCGAGTGGACTGGATCCAGAAAAGGATCCAACCGAGCCTTTTGTTTACCACTCAAATGGCTGTGGTTGTCAAAACTAATGGTAGCATTTTGGGGTAGGTGCACCCCATTTTAGAACCAGTTTTAGTGGGGATTGGGATGTTCACTGGTACGATTTTGACTTTGACTCATGAAATGGTCCAAGCCCAAAGAGAGACGAAAGTCTGAAAGGAACTCGGGGAGTGCGATTTGATCTTGGTTGCTGTCACGCCCCCCCCTGCAAAAAGACTTAACTTTCCGGGGGTTTAGTGGGAAACACCCGTTTATGTCAACCAAAAAGCAGTCTAAAGGTCCAACTATGATCCAACCCAGCAGTCCAGCTATGGGCCCTTCTTGGGCCGCCTTCTTTGGCAAGGCACAGTACCAGGCTCCCCGGTCCCTGAGCCAAAAGCTGCTGCTTGGGTCCCCGACCTCCGAATCTGCTGCTTGGGTTTTCTATGGCCTTCACCAGAAAACAAACCCACGGCCTGGACCATGAAAACTGGTAACCTCCGTTGGAAAGATCCAACCTACACGCAATACCCCACGTGTTGAAGGGTGTCAACCCATTCCTACAAAGGGGATCGATGTAGTTACCCCGGAAAACATGGTTTTTTCGAGAAAGAAAAGCAAGCCCAAAACCCTGCACCCTGCAAGGGTTGTCAAAATCTGTCCTGTGCCCGTGTGTGAGCCATTGTGGGTACGAATCAGGGTTCCCTCTTTTTCCCTGAAAACATCACCTCACCAAGGGACACTCACCTTTCATGGGCCAAAACGGTGCTGTTTAAAACATTTTAAAACCACCAAAAGGGGAAATAAAGGAATCAAAGCCCAACCCTGACAAAGCCTCCACCCCGAATCCCAAATCTCACCGGCCAAGCTTGGACCCCTCTGCCAATATACCTTGGTTGACGTTGGGTTTGGAGAGCAAAAAATCAAATTTTAGCAGTTAAGTGGTTGGATTTCAACCACTAAACCACAGCAAACATGTAAAATGTCTCCCAACAACCATGAAGTAGGGACCCCTCTACAGGCCAATTGAGCGTTTGGCTCGAAGCCCAGGCACGAGACCGGCGGAGGCATTGGAGCAGGTCCTCAGATTCGGATGCTATGCACCGCCAAATGCGGGTCAAAAATAGGTTTCCAAAATGGATACAAAGGAAAATGCAAACATGGACTAAGACCTGTGGTTCCCTGCTGGTGCAAAATTTGACCCGCAAATGCGCTGGTTGCTTCGGTTCGCTGGAGCCAACGCCAAAATGGTGTTGCGATCCTTTTTGGGTGTCCCTTTCAACCAACCCAAAAATTATTGGGTTCCTTTTTGGTTCCCTTTGAACCAGCCCCAAAATGGTGTTGTCCTTCTGTTTTTGTGTCCCTTTGGACAAGCCCAGACTTGCTGGGATTCTTGATATGGGTCCCGCCCCAGGGTGCCCTTCGCCTCAAAAACACGGACTGCATCCCAAATCAATCCCAGAACCTTCGAAAAGCGCCTGACGGATTCAGCTGAACCCCTGGCCGTGGTTTCAACCATGGTTTCCAAGTCGCGCGAGATGGAATTCGGCCATCCACAGTAGTCGATTACATGTCAGCCCCTGACCACAACAGAAACTAGTTCTCCGAAATACTACACTAAAATAATGTACCGGGGGGGGGAGATGGTAGTGCGAGGAAAGCCCCACAAAAGCAATTTTGTTGTCGAAGCGCTCTAGGGCCCAGTTCAGCCTATAGTTGATTCCAAAAGCATTGCAATTAGCTCTGCGTTGTCAAGCCCACAGGGAAGCACCAGCGTTTGGAGACCCATTTTGGGATTCCCGTCCTCATGACTTCGTCTACAGTAAACGGCAGTCCCAAAGCCAACTATTTTCAAGAACCAAGTTTTCCCTAGATTCTTGTAAAATGTCTCTTTACTTCCGCTTCTTGCTGTGTAAGAAGCGACCACCCTGGGCCCTCGAAGAGCAGTTGCAGAACACAACCCATCTTCAAAATCAAAATTGTGAACAAGCAATATGTAGGGCATCCACCGTAGCCCTCTAGTACTTTGATCCGCCTGCCATTCAAACGAATGAGGGCAACCTCATTTCCAACCGTTGGATTGTGTCCATATCGGGTGTATCATTCTTGCGGATGTTTACTTTTCTTCAGCCTTGGTTGCGAGGAAAGCCAGAAAACCACAAGGTTTTGCGTCCAAAATCCCACTCCGACACCCCACAGACACACACATGCACGCACCCACCCGCCCACCCACCCACCCGCCCGCCCGCCCACCCACCCACCCACCCACACACACACACACACACACGCGCGCGCGCGCACCCATATCTCTCATCCTTGCGGGATCCCACCACTGAGGCCTGGCAGCCCGAAACATTCTGAACTCCTGGCAATCTGCACCGCACATCGACCATCAGCTACGGCGCAGCTACGGATAAGTTGTGCAAGGAACGGCCAACACGGATACATCACAGGTAACAAATACGACATAATATGTATATACCCCCTACTCACAATACCCGCTTGTTTCAGTTGTCTTTTTTCTGTTTATTGTTTAACCTTGGCTTCCATGGTAAATACCTGCTTTTTTAGTAGAGGGTTGACATGATACCCTGAAAAAAAAAGGTATTTGGAGTAGGGGGTATGATGATGATGATGATGATGATGATGATGATGATGATGATGATGATGATGATGATGATGATGATGATGATGATGATGATGATGATGATGATGATATACATATATATATATATATATATTTATTTATTTATCTGTGTATATGTGTGTATTAATATGCATACAGTAAATATATATTTATGTATTTACATATATATATATATATGTATGTCTGTATATGTAAATATATGTTGTACTCTTGTTCCATTTGTTGCTTCTACGGATGATGCAGCACCCCCCCGCTCCCCCGGCCGCCGTTAGCTCCAGGCGAGCCGCTCCTCTGAAGGCAGCTCCGCGAGAGGGCTGTGGCCATGGAGCACATTCAGCCTCGGAGCCATTTGCCGGCGGCTTTCGCTTGCTGGAACTCGTCCACCTAGGTGTCCTTTTTAGGGAAATAGATGGCCCTGGTAGTTGATTGAACCACCAGGCAAATCAGGGCGCTCCATTTTTCAACCAAATAAACCAAAAAGGACGCCTATGCTCGTCCAGATACAGATTTCACTTCCCATCCAGTGGGTTGGATGTGAAAAAGTACCTAGATAGCCAAGTTGCGATCGCTTTTTTCAGTCACTGCTGGTTTTTGGGGTAAAGCTCATGGAAAAAAACGATCGCAACTGGCGATCCAGGTACAAAAAACACTTTTGGACCGCGGAAATACCCAAAAAGCTTAACGTCCATGAGCTCAAGAAGTGAGAGATACCCGTCGACCTGTTGAGGGGAAAACGGTATACATCCAAAACCCACCTGGTTGTGGATAGGGGGGCCCTTATTCTGAGAAACAACAACCAAGGAGGCTAGTGTAGGGGGTCGAGTCATGCCTGGATTTAATGAGGCCTTAGGTTGTATCTCCCCAAAAAGTTCCTGGAAGACAATGCTCCGTTTAAGGGGACCCCCGTGCAGGCTCTATGCTCTCTTTTTTGGGAGCAACTTCCCTGGCAGAAGGTTGGTTCGGTTTCCTGTAGCTTTCGCTCCGACCAACTTGCGAAAGCTGGCGGAAGGGTTGTGGAAAGACAACTACTCCAAATGTTGTTGTCTTTATTTGTCTCTCTGTTTTTAACATGGGTATTGTTCGGAACACCTGGTGTTCATGGTAAATACACACTTTTTCGTAAAGGGTCAGAATGATACCCTAAACCAAGTGGGTATTTGGAGAACGGGTACTTTCTCCTTTTGCGGAATCTCCCAACACACTTCAGTGCTTTTTTCTGACAGAGGGGAACTTTTCGGCCTTCTTTGGTTCAGCCTGCTAGACGAGATGTGTCTTGCCCACAAACCACGGTTTCTTCCGTGCGGGTGGCTCCCTGCCTACTTCTGAGATCTCTTTGCACTTGAAATATGGACCAGAATGCGGGCACATTGCTTTTGTGCTGAACCCTGGGTAGAAAACCTAAGCAATCCCATACAGCTTTTTGGATGAGATGTTTTGCTTGGGGGTGGGAACAGCACCAAGGAAGGTGGGGTCCTCCAACATACCCGCCTTGTTTAGGGTATTGACCTGGCTTTCCAACATACATACCGATGCCTGTTCTTTTCAGTACTGGGTAAACATGATACCCTAACCAAGCTGGAGTTGGAGCTTTCGAGGGTGGCGATAAAGAGTGTACCAGAAACCCATGGTAAAGAATGAAAAGGGTGGACGAAACCGCACAAAAAACAAAAACGAAAGTGGCTGGGGACTCTCCCTTCACCACCGGGGGTTTCGATTGTCAATTCGACAAAAGGAGCCGGATGATTCTTAGGGGTACCTTCCCCATTTCCAAGGAATATCCGAAAACCCCAAGGGTCAAAGTACATCCTATACCAAGAGACCATGGGGGCATATGAGGGCCAAAGAAGGCCCTTGGAATCAACCCCTTTCTTGACCAGACTTGGACTCACCGAAATCTTGGTAAGGAGGAACAGTGAAGAAAACCTAAAACACACATTTGGGTGTGAATTTTAACGGCGGAGTCTCTGGAAGGCATCATTTACCCTCTTGCCTGAGAAAGGCCACAAGTTCGGAATCCCAACCTCCTGCACCTGTTGGGTGGATTTCGCCTTATGACTTGGAACAGCCATCTTGAAATGCTGATAGGACAACCCCGCAAAGTGGACAACATACTGCTAGCAAGACTGGTCATCTTGTCGGTTGCTCATACAACCTACACGCAACACCCACTGCTTTCAGGGTCGGTATGATAGGGTATGATGTCAACCCTTTAGAAAAGAAGGTGTTTACCAACCTGTTCTTCCAAACAACACCCTTCAAACTCAATGCATTTGGAGTAGGGGGTATCATCTTGTATGAAAGGAGCGCGCGCCTGAAATTGTTCCGCCAGGTGGCACCACCTTTTTCTGCGTGTCCGCTGGCATGTCCGCAAAGCTGCCCTGAGCGACTTTGCGTCACCCGGGAAAATGTGCAGGGCATCTTGACATCACGAACCAACCAAGCAACCAATCAACCAACCCAAAACACACCAACCAACAAACAAACCAATGAACAAAAGAAAGCTCAAACAAATGACTGAACAAACAAACAAACAAAGCAAGCAAGCAAACAAACATACAAACAAACAAACGAACCAAAGAACAAACCAGCAAACAAACAGACGCACAAACAAACCCACAAACAGACCAACAAGCCAGGGAGTAAGCAATCAAGCCATAAACCAAAGGAAGCGAAGTGCCGAGGAAACAAAACCAACGCCACTTGGACCGAACGCCGCCATCGCCTCGCGTCGTTCCATCTGGCGCACCGCCCGGGAGATGCGCTGCATCGCCTGAAGGGGCGATGCGGTCGCGCTGTCTTAACTGACTTGCAGGGATGGATTGTGGAGGTAGGGAGGCTAAATTGGTATTTACAGGGAATCATCATTCTAGGGTTTCTCAGGTGGTGCAGAATTTCGTCCATCCACAGTAGGGAGGTTTTACACTCAACCTAGCCGATTAATAGGGGGTTGTCTCAGCCACATGTGATCTGGATCTCTTAAAGGGACGCTCTCAATCAAGAGTTGGCCCTGGCTGCGTGCCGTTTGTGTTGTTTTGCTTTTGCTTGCCTTCTCCCTTGAGTTTTTGCACATTTTGCATGCCTGGTCTGCCCCTGAAGTGTCCCTGGCTGCATTCTGGTCTGTTGTTGTTGTATTTCTGTTTTTCTTTGTTGTCCTGGTTTTTGCACGCTTTGGATGCCTGATCTACCCCTGAAGTATTCCTGGCTGCATTCTGTTTTGACTTGGCTCGTTCGCTTGTTTTCTACGTGCTTTTGCACATCTTGGATGTGTCCCCGGCTACATGTGTTTGTTCTTGTTTTCCTTTTGGTGTTTTGGTTGAAACAGGGATTTTGGACCCGCTGGGTGTCTGGGTGTCAGGCCATGGTGATCTTTGAGTGCCCCATTGAGAGAAGACCAGCCAGTCGGCGTTCCGCCAGGGTCCCGTGTCGCCATTACGGGACCTACTGTGGGTGGTTGCGAAATCCATTTCGCAACACAGCTCAGAAACCCTGGTTTCTGATGATTGCCCTGTAAACGAAACAATGGATTCAACCATGGTTTCAAAGTGGTGCGAAATGAAACTCGTCCATTCGCAGTGGGATTCCTGCTTGAATTTGATCAAAAGCGTCCCTTCAAAGGGATTCCGGATCCAGATCATTTTTTGGGGAGACAACCCCCTATTAATCTGCTAGGTTGACTAGTCAGGTCAACACTGGGTTGCTTTCCCCCCCTTGGGTAAACGGTCCGTAGGCTTAATGGGATTGCAAGGTGTTTCACAAAAGCTTTCTGCCTTTTGGCGATTCGGTCCAGCAAACAAGTCTGTACTCCAAACACACGCTTTCTGCGGTAATCTGTTTTCGAACAGTCAGGTTTTCCATAACTCCTACACTCAATACCCGTGCTTGTTACTTGGTAGTTTTGGGGAAAGCCTGGCTTTCCACGCACAATACATCATGCTTGAGTCAAGTAACTTGGTTGCTGTTGACCCCTCTGCAAAAAGATCTCGACTTTTTCTGGGGCCAACGGAACATCCGAACTGCTTCAACCAAAAAGCTAAAGTCCAAGGATCCGCTACCAAATAGGTACAAGGGTAAAACACAATGGGTATTAGGGGGTAGGCTCGCTTCCTGAGTGGATGGCCCAAGATAAGTCCGAACATTTTGCTTGCCACCAAAAAGATTTAAGTCCAGGAACTTATAGGGGCTCCCAGTAACTTGCCACTATCAAAGTCACCCCAGTGAAGGTATGTTCAGAAACCACCGACCAGTTTCTGACTTTGACAACCCTCAGAACTTGTCAAAAGAATGACTCAAGAGTTAATCAGTGTTTCCTGCCAAGGCCGATCCAGGGACCTGACTTTGATAAGCCAGAACCAGTTGAACTAAGTTGACCTCTGTCTAAAGGGAAACCCCCTTCAACAAAAGGACCAGAGGCAACCCACTGGGCGTCTGGGTGTTTAAGCAACTGAAGTCATGACAGCAGAACTTGTTCGGTTCGGTTCGAGGCACGTGCTGCAGCGCCAATCTGATCTGCCACCACCGCACCAGCGCGCGGCCCTGCGAAGATCGACTTACGCAGTCTTGCAGGTCCTTAGGCGAAGCACCTTCTTTCCGACGCCCAAACTGAGACATGCCAAATGTGGAGCCCAACAAAAAGGCCGCCCCCCCAAAAGGAGCTTCCCCTACAAATGATGAGTGTGGGGTTCATGAAGGGGTTTACAAACCACAAAGAGGGAGGGGTTACAAGGGCTGTAAACACTTGAGAACCAAAGTCACGCAGGAAAAAGAAACACAACTCCACAAAATTGCACATAGGCCTTCTTGAATACATCTACTCATTGACATGTACATGTTGTATTGAAAAAACAAACTCCAATATGAGATTCGCCTCAAAGCAGTGGCTTGTTGGGATCCATGTTTACTAGCTAGAAATAGGCCCAATTGAATACATCTGTTGAATTGAATATTTATCATGAATGGTTCTGAATCATTGGATTCATTAGATCAATGCACATCTATGCATATATATGGGCGAAACACAGCATATGGCTTACCGTTAAAGCCCATATATACCACGTGTGTTGGCAGAGGGTGTGCCTTGTGTTGGCACTTGACCTTGAAGGAACCCCTCAAAGGAGTGCAATCACCACAGGTTGGTCTGGGTTTTAACCACGCTTGGGTCCATCTGGGCAATTTACTGCTCAGCTCAGGGGGTGGTTTTTTCTCCATTTGCTCTCTACGAGAAACAGGGTTCTAATCCGCCAACCACCAATCCAAACCACTAACATAAGGGTTGCCTGATACAATCCACAAGCTGGATCCTAGAAATACTACCTTCATGAGGCCCGAGCAGATATTTCCTCAACAAAGAAGCAAGGAAGCAACCCTAAAACGTCCAGGCTAAAGATCCAACCCAATAGCAGCTCTTGGAAAAGACACCTAGCCCGTCTCATGTTTAGACTCCTTCCATTTGATTGATGTCCACTTCGCCGCCCCTACCAGGATGCAAACACGCGAGCACAAAACCCTCTAATTTACCAGGAGTTACCGTTGTTTTGCGGTTTGCTGTACTCAACAATATCATTCAACCCGGCATTCCCTCTAAATCCAACCGGGAAAATACAACAATACTCTCCCTAATGGAAGATAACGCCAACCCCCTTCTCCAAACACCCGTGTTTGACAGGGTATTTCTTGAAAACCCTCGGCTTTCCAGAAAAAACTTGCCGTTTAGTATATAGGGTTGACATCATACTCTGAAAAAAGCGTGGGTCTTAATGTTAACCCCGGATTAATAAACCTCTGGTGGATCAATAGGGGGGGTGCCCTCTTTTAGTGGGGATTCATCACTTTTGGAGGGAACACCCCCGAATAATGGGACGGGCTTATTAATCCTGGGCCATGGGTCAACATTACCTTTTTTTGTGGAGCCATTTCCCCTTCTCCCAGCAAAGCTCCACCGAGCGGAAACCAAGCCGAGGCGCCACGAAGCGCAGGGTCAGCACCTCCAAGTAGCTGAGGCACCGGACGGAAGTGGCCTCCCGCAGCAGCGGGTTCGACAAGATCATGTCCTCACCGAAAACGAACGGTCTCGAAGAAGCGCAGGGGTGAGGATTTGCTATTCTGCCAAGGGGCGGTTTATTCATACATTCATACATATGCATTTGTACGTCGTACAATGTATAGTGTCATACATACCTGGACCTTCCTGCATGCTCAAAATCTCCGCCTTTTCGCCACGAATTGCCTTTTGGGGCAATTGCGCGTGTTTTTGTGCCTACGGCTTTTTGTTTGCTCAATTTGGGTGTTAAGCGCAATCTCCTCAAATCTACCGGCGAACATTCCCGATCGCGGCGCAAACAAATATGACCGCCGGCGTTTTTTTCGCCCGAGAAGCATGTTTTCACGCCAACGACCAAAAATACATGTCGTTTGGCCAACTTCGTCCAACGACCGGACTGCGCGAGCCTCTGGGGTTGCGATGAAGGTCAGCTTTGCGCGCGCTGAGCGCAGTACAGGCATCTCGCAACGGCTGAAAATCGTGTCCGCGCTTGCCTTGCCCACGCAAACCACAGCATCTCTGGAACCCGCCGCTTGCTGCCGCGATGCGTTCAAGGCAAACTCGGCGCTGATCGCCTCCCAGAAGAGAACCTGTTCCTTCCAGCGATATTCGTCGAGAAGTCGCCGAAAAGCATCTACAGCGCGACCGAGTCTAGTTTGTTCCTGAGCGTAGTTCATGCCACGCGCCCACTCCAGAAAACTAGAGGCCTGGCTGGATCGCCACCAATAAATGGCTTCAACAGCTTGGCCAGTGAAGCAAAGCGCCCGCGCGCTGCCGTCCAGTTGTTAGCGCCGGCCAGCTGCAAGCCGGAATGTAAGTGGTGAAACATTTTGGCCCCTGGATGGATGCCCGCAGCTGAACACTGAGAACAAAACTTAGACCGCAGTCTCTTCAACTTCTTGCGGCCGAGCTGTTGGACTGAAATTTTCTGACGTTGATGCGCGCGTTGCTTGCGGAATAATCTTTTCCAGGTCCGCAACGTTGCCAGCAGCACCAAGGTTGCCAAGACGAGCAACTAAAACTGCTGCCGTGCGCTGGCAGGCTTCCCATGGGCACGGAAGCACCTGGATGCGAAAGGCAATGGCTCCACAAGCTTCTCATTCTCAGAATTCAGCAAGAAGCCCGCGCTTTTCGACTTGAGACCAGCAACCTCTTGATCAAGGAGGAGCAGCTCCCGCCTTACGCTCTCCATATCCACAGGCCACCCTTGACGCACCAAACAAGCCTGACTTATCCCTGATGGGCCAGCCTCGCATGGTGCGAAAGGTGGTTCAAACGCTGTGGCCCGCGCCAAGCTGACCATCCACACCAGCACATACATTGCCATTGTCAAGGCATCGACCCGAGAAGTGACTGATCTACTGGGATGGGTGTCGGCATCTTGTTGTCGTTTGCGCGCATGATGCTGCATTGTATGGCGCAAATGCCCTTACCGTAAACCTTTAATTAGGAATCACGCTCGGCCTTCCGTCCCTTTTTTCACTCCAGCAAGTAGTTTGTACAAAACAGAGAAACTAGTCCGGAAAGTTTCGGGGTTGCTTTGGCATCCAACCAATCCAAGTCGGCATCACTTTCGGAAGCAAGGCGGAATCACGTCCTTGGTGCAAAAAAGTGGGTAGCATTAGAGCTAACCATCATCGGCGACTTGGAGAATGCCTTTCCGTGCAACCCCTGGGACGGGCGGGCGGGCCTAAGACGGAAGCACTACGAGCAAAAGGGAGGAGCGGCGCGGCGGATTCCTAAACTTCGAACCGTATGTCAAGGAATCACGCTCGGCCTTCCCTCCCTTTTTTCACTCCAGCAAGTAGTTTGTACAAAACAGAGAAACTAGTCCGGAAAGTTTCGGGGTTGCTTTGGCATCCAACCAATCCAAGTCGGCATCACTTTCGGAAGCAAGGCGGAATCACGTCCTTGGTGCAAAAAAGTGGGTAGCATTAGAGCTAACCATCATCGGCGACTTGGAGAATGCCTTTCCACGTTCCCCTGCTCTCCGATATATCGGTAGCTCAAGTGCTTTAAGTTTATTGAACCACATGGTCTGAAAACACCTTTGCTTACGTGACATGACCCACGAGTGCTCGGTTAGAAGTGCAACTCCATCGGAGATATAAATGCGGGCAGTTCTTTCTGAAGCCCATCGCCCCTGCTGGCACACTTGAGTGTAGCTTTTAGTGTCAATATACAAGGCGGTAGCACCTCCCCTTCTCAAGGAGTAAGGCTTGAACCCCGTGAATTGGCACTTTTGGATGGCTTGGCTGAAGGACAACCTGAACTGGTATTGCGACACAGGCACAAGATAATCATGTGGCTTGGCTACGGAGGCCCATGCCTGCAACAGTTGAGCCGTGTAGATATGATGAATGTACACGTTTTTCACACCGGCATTGCGAGATGTCATTTTTGTCTCACCCAAATGAATTAGTACATGTGCCCCTGAGGGGATCACATGGCAGGCTTGTATTTTTAGAAGCTCACCAGTGCGAGAGGCATCCAAGGGGTGGTTAAAGTACATCCACACAAGACCTCAACTTGTTCTTTTGTGAAGTGCGGAGCCCGTGCAGGCAATTCATTCTGGGCCCAAGCCTTCAGCAGGCGCCAGGCCTGTGGTATGTGCCCCTTTACCGAGGGTTGCAAATGCTGCACACCTGATAAAGTATCAGCGGCCAAGTAGCGGCTTTCACCTTCTTCCCATAGATGCTCAAGATAGTCCGACAGTTGAACATCTAATTCAGGATTGGATTTAGCAAGCGCTAAGCGGTGGTTCCTCTGATACTGCAAGAATGAAGCAAAAGCACGATCATATCGGACTTTTGTGGCTGGCTTGATTATGAGGCTCTTCAAAGTTCCTAGTTTTTGCCGACGCTCCTTACGCACCTTTTCCTTAGGGGAATCCACTACGCAACGCTTGACCATTTGCGTTTGGACCTCCTGCGACTGGGTTCGTCTGCGGGGTTCAGGTGCGTCGATACGTATCCTAGGATCATGATGGAGCCACTTACCAAGAGCCAAGCTGACAATCGTTGCATCACTCGGCGCAACTTACGCGAACTGGACCGTCCCTTCGAGGAGGCCTGTAGCACGACTAGGCTATCAACCAAATGCACAAAACGAACAGGCGCCCGATGCAAACGGCAAACTCTCCATTTCACTGATGACAACAGTGCACGCAATTCCAACTTATTTATATGCTCTGGAAGCATACCTGTCACCCGTTTCCACTGCCAGTGACACACCGTTTTCCACTTCCACAGGCGCGGATCCAATCCCACTCTCAGGCGTTGATGCTGGGGCAAGCTGTCGTGTTCCTGGCTCAGGAGCAGGTCGGCTCCCTTTTGTGACACCAAAGTAGAGAGCTTTTTCACCAAGGATATGGAAAGGTCTGTGGCTTTGCCCATTCGCGGTCGTTCCCAGTGAGGGCGCTGCAGAAAACCCACTAGGTCTGGCGAAGCGCCGGGCCTCAATCGCTCTTCCAATTGCACAACGCTGAGGCGGGCACACAAGTTGAAAGGGCGCAAAAGAGACATCAACAGGAACGCGGTGACTCCTACAGACCAGGAGTTTCCCAGCAAACTGCATCGAGTGTCATCCAACAGCAATGGGTTAGATTTTCTTTCACCTTTTGGAATGCACTCTGCTGTGTAATCCAATGGGAAACCCATGCATGTCTCTCTCTCACGAGTGCTGAGGATTCTCCACCCAAACTTGCGATGCTTCAATCCATGAATGACACGATATTGGTATGGAGGAAATCTGTAGCGGTCCTTCTCCCACACCAGGAGCTCATCCGCTGTGCATTGGCTAATCCCCGCAGGTCTAAAACCTGGTGGGCATTTGGGAATACTGGTTGTCAAGGTGGGGAAACGATGGTCCTTGCCAGACACGGGTTCCCACCCCGGCTCCAGGTAGTGACAAACCTCTACATCTACCTGGAAGGAGATTCGACCATATTCGTGAGGCTTTGATGAATGAGGCAATTGGATGCACACATTGTCCTCACCTTCAACAGGGAAGTCAAACCACCACAACCGAGGCCGTCGGCATGGGCTCAGTCCTGCAGCATCTACCACATAGGGCAAAACTTTGAGTTCGGTGGTGAATGCAGCCCTGTCACCCTCTGACATGCTGAAAACATTCTCAACCAACTTTCGCACACTGGCCCAGGGCATGTGAATTTTGACCCATTCAACAATTGGCTGGATCAGCTGGAACAGCTTTGTCCTAGGGTCGTGCAACGCCCCTTTTCGGCTAGCATTTAACTGGCTGACTCCCTGGCAAGGAGGACCAGCTGACACCAACACCACTTTAGCACGTTGGAAGCGCCTAGCCCAATTCAACACATTGGCCTCTGAGATTTGCGTGACATCATCTTCAAACAGGACTGATGGGAAAGCGCGTTCCACGACCCTCCGGGCTGGTGCGGCACATTCAACGGCAATGTAACCACACACATTGGCTTCAATGAGCTCAAGAGCTACTCGACATGCTCCAATCCCATCAAACAGCGAGATGACCAACACACCGTCATCGCCTAAGAGGTCTGGTTGTTCCCCCCTTACGGTCTTAAATGCGGCCTGCTGCCCCATAGGAGTAAGACCAACAGATTGGCAGACCCCGCCTCCGTGCTCGGAAGCGTCCGAGCATGTGACAACCTCGCTGAACTCGGCTCCAAAGCAAATGTAGGCCAGCGGGGCAAGACTAAGGCTCAACCAGAGTTCTTTCTTAACCTCAGTGGGTATTGGAAACATGGCAGTCCCCGAAGGATCCTGGCGCCCGAGCTCTACCAGAAATGACCAACATTCATTAAGGTTGGCCATCAGCGGACGGCGGAACTGAAAGAGGTACACCAACCCTCCCAAGGCAATTTGCAACTGCTTTAGGCTGGCGACAGTTTGACACAGCAAGAAGAAACTTGCCCTGAGGTACCTGACGAACTTTTCAGGCTTCGGGTAAGCTATATTCCTAACTCCATCTACCAGGGCACCTTGCACTTCAGCTGTCGATGCTCGGCTGACAGACTTCTTCTGGTTGGCTGGCACTTTCAACTTCTCGTACTCTCGTCTAAGAGCATCCGAAGAGGGGGCTCTGGATCCCTTCAAGACTTCTGCGGCTGACGAGTTAGTTTTCTCTAACAGGTCAAAATTGTCCAAGTAAACTCGGTATCCAACCTCAGACTGAGGGAAAGTCGAGTCACGCCTGAACTCACACTCGGCACCAGGTCCTACCTTGGACAGAGCTCGCTTGACTATCTCTCGGTGGATGTGTTGAGCTACTGCTACGCTATTGATGAACCCCATTGGCAGCACACGACTGGTAAGCACGTGGGGACGGCTGTCTCCCGGAGGCCTCAGCTGATCAGGAACCTCCTTACCGAAAGCCAAAAACGGGCGCCATTGAGGTCCTAGGCCAACTATGTAAAACATAGCCCTGATGTCCTCTGAACTTATCAAGAGGTCCTCATGCGGCCTTACCTCTAGCCCGCCTAGCGATGTCACCATTGGTAAGGTTCCCAAGTCACCCTCAACTGCTAGGAAATTACGGTTAATGGGGCGCAGATCCATAATTAACCGCAATACTTCGTGTCCGTCAGGGGTGGTCTCATGCTTAGGCACCCCAAAGAGTCCTCCCAGACAAGGAGATCCATGCACATGGAAAACATCCTCCACTGCAATAACCTCGCAGATTCCTCGTCTCACCAAGCCTAGAGACACTTCGTCCCAATCATCATCCTTGATCATAACGCGAGGGGTCTTCATGCTAACCCTCTCATCCAACGGCAACAAATACTTGGTGGGGTGTTCCAGAAAATCTAGTACTCCCCCAGTGGCTACCATCTCCGGCGATAGCACTCCTGCCTGCTCTGCAGTCGGGAGGCTCGAACGTAGATTGGCCCAGCCCACCGACCTGCAATGGTGGATTTCTTCACCATATGCGTTCACGCTCTTGGAATTCCAAAAATGTTCAATGGAATCCTCGGGAATCATGCAATTGAACAAGTCCTCATTTGTAGAGAACACGGAGACGAATTCAGACAGCAGTTTCCTTTGTCCAGGTGATCCAGCCCCCATGGGCGATTCTGGTGACCCCACGGTCATGACGTTCAGGGCATGCACACCGGCATGGCACCAAGAACCCCATTTCTGCTCCTGGCAGTCTGGGAGAGGGAGCGGGAACAAGTCCCGTCCCGTGATGGGTATGCTGGAGTGAACAGCATCCTTGATTTGTCGCAGCTTCTCCCAGGCCAGGAGTCGTGATCCCAAAACGCTTAACTCTCCAACTAAGAGCCCTCGGTTATTAGTCCTAGCACGGGGTGGCAAAGGAGGGATTCGAGGCTGCGGCGGTCTAGTACAATCATAAATTGGGCATGCACTGGTACACTTTACGGCAGGCTCTAGGAGGGGGCAACTACCTGAGTTTGAGCTGCTGGCTTGCCCCCCTCCCAACGCTTCCCCTTGTCCTTTCCCTCGCCCTTCTTTCCTTTTCCTTTGCCATCCCCCTTCCGGTCCCCTTTGGGGGGTTCCCAACGACTCATCCAACGATTCCCCCCCGCGCTTCCTCGCAGCTGGGTCTCCAGGCGCTCTGATGTCCGTTGTTCCTGGGCGGCATTGTGTCCCTCCCCTGCCGACAGCAACCGAGCGGTGTCGGGGAGAAGCACTTCGACCTTCATGGCCGTCTCGGGGGATCCCCCCTGAGCCATGAGTTCTAGGCTCTTCATCCGTTGCATGCAGATGTCCATTGCCCCTAACACATTCCCCTCTACCAAGCTGTCTAGGCAGGTTGCCAGCGTTTGGAACTCTCTCCTCATGGGTTTGCTCGGCATTGCCCCGCTCTGGACAACCTGTTGGCGGTAATACTTCATCATGACGGGTCGAACTTCGTCTCCCCCCAAGGAGAAACCTTCGGCTTGCCTCAGGAACTTGTTTGCCTCCGACATCCCATGTCTGGTGAGGAGGCCGGGGCACTTCTGGGATATGCGTCTCACTTGACTGGGCTCCTGGAACAATCCTCCGCTCTCGGCTGAGTCCTCTGATAGGAGCTGTTGCTTCCCCTGCTGGAACTCCCTCCATGATCTCGTTTCACCCTGAGACGAGGCTTCTTGAACATGGGGTCTATGCTGCTGCCTCTCCAGTTCCATCTCGACCTCACTAGCATTTCTTTGATGCGTTCCTTTGTGCGTCTGTGAGGCCCTCCTGATCTCTTTCTCTTCTTCTTTTTCCTCTTCTTCTTCTTCTTGACCCCACTGCTCTCCCCACTGCTCACCGAACCCCCGTCCCGGTCCTGCAAAGGATCTGGCTGGCCTGCTCCCAATCGAGGAGCGCTCGGCGGGGCCTGGGGCATCGGATTTTGGCTGAAACCCATGGCTTCGGCGGCTTGATGCAACTGACCTAGATCTCCCTCTCCAGGAGTCGGGCTGCTTCCTACCACTAGATTTCGGCACCAGGGCAACGCAGGATCTGGCTCTTTCATCAGAACGGGGTGGAAAAACTCCGGTCCCCGGGCTGGAACCTTCATCACTCCCTCTGGTATAAACAACTCTCCTGCTAGCCCGGCCCGGATTGCTCCATGCACGTACTCTTGGACGTGAAGATGAGGGCTCCCACATACCTGCAATTTAAGGTAGTTACCACTGGAATCCTCAAACCGTGCAGTGATCTCACCTACTACCTCCACAGGGTTGTTGCAATAAGTTCCCTTCAAATGCAACTGCGATCCAATCCAAATGGCACCTGAGTCAAAAGGAAGGAATGGATTCTCAATCTCAGCTTCCTTGGGGCTCTTGCCGCCCCGGCTATTCTTAAGGATACCAGGCCTTTCAAGCTCCTCGGGGAGTTTAGCAGCTGGCTTCCTTAACACGACCTTTGCAGCAGGGCGTCGCACTGGCATCCCACACTAAGCCTCTGGCGGGCTCCGGCGAGGTTCCCCTCGGAGTTCTACCTAATCCAAATCGCTCAGGACCTCAAGCGAGCGTCCTTTCCTGGCCCAGGCCTCAGCCTGCGACTCCCCTTCCAAGGGAACCGGCCTCCTGATGCCGGGAAGCACTTCCTCTGCCTCCTCCAACTCCAAGTCCCGCTCGATCTCCTCCTCCCCCCTGGGGCGGCGATCTCCCAAGAGGTCCAACGCACGGAACTCCTCCTCCTCACGCTCCTCCTGGGCGGCTGTGTCCTCCTTTACCTCCTCAACCTCACTGCTCCTAGGAGACCGAGATCTCTCCCTTGCACGCTCGTAGCCCGGGCCACCCTCGGCCCACCACCGCTCCTGACGACTGCGGTGCTTAACTCCTTTGCTCCTCTTGGGCCAAGCTCCTTCTCCTTTGCCCTTTGGGCTCTTGCCCTTAACCTTGCCTTTGCCCTTGCCCTTTTCCTTTCCACCCTCCCACCTCGGAGGGGGATAGGCGGGCTCCACAGGCCTCCTCTTCGCCTCGGCTGGGGCCAGGACCAGACGCTCAGCCTCTGGTCTTTCGGCACTCCTGTCCTCCCTTCTAGGAGGAACAGGTGGCGGCACACGAGCACTGGAGCTGCTCTTTGGGGGTGCAGTAGAGAGGATCTCTCTCTGCACCCGGGCCTCGTCTCTCTCTCTAAGAGACGGCCGCCACTCACTGCGGGTCGGCCTGATGACCTCCCTTTGAGGAGATCCTTCCCGAACCTCCCTACGAGGAGATCGGCTAGGCTCCCGTCGGCTGCTGGCTCCCTTCTGCTCAAGGAGCACCAGCACCTGGCTTTGAGCGCCCTGGAGAATCTCCAACAGGGCACTCAAATCAGATGGCGCCGACAGCCGGGGGTCGAGGCAGAGACTCCTCAATGCCCCGAGCCCCCGGCAGACCCCGCAGTGCCTGGAAGCTCCCTGCGAGGAGACCCTCCACTGGTCGCAGCCCCGGCAAGCAATGCCGGGGCTGCAACTCCTGATCATCAGGTAGGAGGATTTCCCTCCTACCACAATCCTACTTCTGCCTAAGACGGAAGCACTACGAGCAAAAGGGAGGAGCGGCGCGGCGGATTCCTAAACTTCGAACCGTATGTCATTCTTTTATTAAACTTAATTTTCCAGATCTAAACCCCTCGCGGCTGCTGCTTAGTGTGATGATTGCCGTAACCAGTCGGTGCCCTATAAACCTTGAAGCCTCCGCTTATTGGTTTGCTTCACAGGCCAAGTAAGGCTTCAGGGTCAACTCCAACGGAACTCATGACAAGTAGACGTCAAACATACAGCCGAAGAGCTAAGGAGCCCGAAGAAATTCTCCGCTCTAGCAACTCGCGCTTGATTAAAGTATCAAAATGTTTGACCCCCGAAGGTCCAGGTATGTAGATATATATTTCTATTTATATATATATATATGTTTATATGTGTGTAGTCGTGAACTGTGTCACCGTCAATGCAAGGCTTTCGAGGTGTTGAGTTCGAGGCTGTCCAGCTGTAGGCAAGCTTTGCTTAAGCACAGGTAAGGGAAACCAACGAGAGATAGGTCAATAATTATGCCATGTGCTCCTGGACCCTCAATCTACACTTGACCAAGGGCATTGATTCGCCCCATTTTCGGGAAGCTAGACTGGATGCCTGCCGGTTTTCTAATTCTGGAGTCGACCGTCACCGTTCACCCCGGGACAGGGCTGTGGGAAATGACCACTTCTGTGTACAACAGAAGGGGCTTGCCAAAGACTAACTCAGGACTAACTCCCCACAAACTGGGGGAGATTCCCTTGTATCCCAGAAGTGGGGACCAAGCCCTTGATCCCACAACCCTGCCCCAGGAAAAGCGATCGATCCTGACCGGACGCCGAAAAACGCCGCCGCTCCGCCGGTCCTTGCCCCACACATCTCCGGCGATCAAAACGCGGCCACCGCGCATGCAAACCCCACGCCGCACCACGAAGAGAGCGCCTCAGCGGGGACAACTTGGTGGCCATGACTTGATTGACGTTGGAAGGGGAGCTAAAATTTATGTTTTAGCAGTTAAGTGGTTGGATTTCAACCAATAAACCACAATAAGCAAAAATGTAAAATGGTTCCCAACAACCATGAAGATGACATGAATGGGTCATGAGTGAGGCGAAAGCTCCGCAGGACCATAGACTTCTGGTTGCGAAACTAGCTAAGTATACAGATTGATAAGGCATCTGTGCGATGCAAAGGGGATACTATCGCATATCTTGCGAAATCCGCGTTTGGAACAGCTGAGCAAGGGCCGTGACGTGAAACACGGGCCGAGAAAATCGGGGAAGTGAAAGACTGTCTTCGTCTGAGACTGTCGTTCTTTGAGGGAACCTCTTTTTGGATTGTTTCAAGGTGCTTTTCAAAAGGAACAACCCCCCTTCTTGCGGGGTTCTCCCCCCAAAGAACACGTCGGGTTGCCTTTTTGCTGAAAAGAACAGAAGGTACTCCAAACTGGGCTGAAAGTCCTCAAATCCCCAGCCTCAAATCCCCTCAAACTGGGCTGTCCTCAAATCCCCTGCAAAAAAAATAAACTTTCGGCGGGTTAAATGGACACCCCCAAACCCTAAACACCCAAAAACCCGTCTGGGTGTTCCATTTCCTATGGCCATGTTGGGTACTTGTTTTTAACCAGGGTGCCATTTGGGGTAATCCCTGAAGGGTACAAGGGGAACCAAAAAAAACCGGGAACCGGATGGCCAGGACCCACCTATTCCGTGCTCCAAATCCACTTTTTCCATCTTTTTCCAGTTGGTACTTTTGGTTGGAAACCGCTCGGTTTGCCAGTTTTTAGGTTGTTTTTTTAACCAACACTTTTTTCAGAGGGCTGACAAAAAAAAGAAAAAGAAAAGAGGAGCCGCGGGTTTCGGCGAAAACATCAAATAGCAAACCTTGTCTAGAGGGTTGACAACATTGATACCAACAAAGCCGAATTGAAGGGGCAGGGGTCATCAGTGGGTCAGAACCATGGTTCTAACCCACAAAAGCCATGGCTATATGTCTCCGTTCAGTGGGTTAGTTCACCAGGCTTGCTCTCACCACTTTCCTGACGTACCAAATCGGATCCCCCCCCTTTTCTAGCAGCTTTGTGCAGGTTGGGGGGGTTGAAGCACCGCAGACCCCACCGACGCCAAAGCGACGCCCAAGGCGACGCCAAAAACGCCGCAAGGCGCGGTCGTTGTCGATGGCCTCCTTGGGCGCAAAGAGTTGGGCCTTCAGCTTCCGCGCCACCTGCGCCGCAGCTTCGATCCCGCTGTAAGATCAAAGCCGCCCGCGCCGCGCGAAGGTCCCGCGCGAGGCGCGCGCGGAGGAGTTCCGGCAAGCCGAGCCGCGGAGGTTGGTTTTTGGGTTTTTTCTTGGTTCTCTCGCCGCGGAAAGGTGCAGGGACTGGGAGGCGATTTGTTTTCGCGTCGATGGCGCAAAAAGTGGGGAGCCGAATCACAGGATTCCTGAAGCGTGGGGTGGATAGGCGGTTTCTTGTTCCTGGCAATGTGCAGAAGATGTGAAATTTTGAAGGGTCCGATGGATGATATGGATGGATTTTTTGGAATTCAACTGTGTTCAAATTTGGCGCAGCTGGGGGTGTGGTAGCTTAACTCTAATGAGGGTCTTCTGCTGGAGGGTATCCCCTGCTTTGTGGCTTTCAATGGGTTCCGATGTTGGAGGCCAGACCACTATGCCAACTGGTCACATTTTCCGAGAAGGGTCGCAATATAAACGGTTCCATGCTCCTTGAAATCGACATGAATTGAACATCAATATCCCTGTAAATGGACTGTCAAAAACGAAAACCCTGCTGTGGTCAGATACGCTCGGTTCGCCCAAAGTTCAGTGTGTGACACTTCGTTGGATAACTGCATGACTGAACATCTCAGATTGGAGGCCGCCCCCTAGAATGAACATATATTCAAACAACTCTTTTCTAAACATTGCCGTTGGCTTCCCTTGTTGAGCCGCCTGTTTGTTTCACCAGCTTTCGCCCACCAAGCGGTGTGGCTTGCGAATCTTCCAACCTTCCTCCCTCCCCCCCGCTCCCACATCTGCACATTTACCATAATTCCAAAGGCTGAATTTAGGGATCCTTAAATGAAAGAGAGTCATAAGAGGTAATTAGCTATTTCCCGTTTGGCGTGTTAACGGGTGGCAAGCCCTTGGCTACCTACCTTGGCCAGGTAAATGATCTTTATCAAAGAGCTCGTTATACCCCCCGAATCGCTGAGAGCTCACGTCAAGTCAAAAGGCGGACATGGCCTGGACTAAGACTTCACAGTCCAGGTTGTTGAGGTACCCAACCTGGCCAAAAGCTCGACGACTCGAGCCGTAGGGTCAATTCGGAACAAAGGTACCTGGACCCTCAAAACCCAAATTTGGGGCAAGAGAACCTTTAAGAGACATGGACAACAGCTGCTTTCTGGTGGTTTAGTTTTGACACTTACCCATGTAAGTCAAACGATCCCGTCAGCAAGCCAGGCCATCCCTACGCCTTGGTCACTCCTTCAGAGGGTTCCCTGGGTATCGCAGCAGCCGAAACCCAATTTCCCACACGGTTTGCGGTGCGATTTGAGGATGCTTGTTTCGCATCCCTTCCAATGAAACGAATCCAAGCCGAGGGTCGGTGGTGTCTGGCCCGTGTAGGTGGTTCGGAGGTGTGGCCAGTAGGACCCAAAATCTTGACAGGGTTCAGCCTGACAGGAACAACCAAAGCTCAGCGAAAGTGGCAAGCTTCACTGAAAAAGAAGCAAGACAAATCAGGTATCTGCATCCCAGTTGCCCAATTTGGACCCAGAAAGAATGGGTGATCACCTTTTAAGGCTGTGACCAGTACCTGGAGCCTCAAACTAGCCACAAGAAAGATAATTTAGCCCATAAGTTTGGGTTGCAAAAAACTTTTTTTATGGGTAGTTTGAGGGCCCAGGTAGACCAAACCGGTAAAACCCAACAGGCCTATCAAAGCCGATTCGCTTTGGGCAACTAAAGCCAAACATTCGCCTACCTGGATTGTTCGCAACCCGGTTGTTCCACCTACCACGCCATTCCCATCATAGCCCCCAACAGGAAAACAATAAACACACACTCAGAGACCCAAACGTCAGCCCGGAAGTTCGGCTCCGAACACGCGAGCTCGCCTCGCCTGTTTTGAGGCTGCCCTGAAACAAGCACCGTGCACTTTTTTACATGGAACCCAAGACGCTCGTCGACTTCTAGAGGGACAATTTGAAAGGGACCCGCTCCCTTCAAAAAAATGGGCTTCCCTTAGAAGGTGACTTGCCGGGCCTAAAGGTAGTTTGAGGTTCCACGTACCCTGCTATTCGGTTGCTCCATTGGTGATTTCGAGCATTCCTCTGGGTACATCCAGGCATGTTGAGGCCGTGTCAGGACCATAGCACAACTTGGTGCGTTAGCCTCCAACTGCCCATAAGAATGGGTTACAACCTAAGACTATGGAGTTGTTCAACCCATTTTGAGGGTATATGGCGAGGGGGACCATCAAGTTGGGGCGGGTCAAATCCCCCCCAGTTTCCACTCGAACTGCTCCAGCCGTCCCGTAGAGACCACAAGAAGTCCCTAAAATGAAGCTTGTGGTGGGAAAAATGCGGAAACCCAACCACGAAGCCCGCTAAAAACCTGGATCGCTGGGAGCCACCAAGTAGTGAGGGGCCAAGTGCTACCACCCAATTGAACAGCTGGAGTTGGTGAATCAGAAATTGCCACAGCTGAGATGACCATCCAGTGCTTTGTATGGGCCATGTCTACTTGAAGATGAACATACGCTGGCTGTTTCGAGCAACGGCGGCTCCCCCGTACCCCCAGTGAACATCCGATTCAATCCAACCACTAAAATAGGTAACCTAAAATGGGTGGTGAATTCACCCAGGAATCAAAGGTGATCACCAGTTGAGTTGGGTCCACTAAAACTAGACCAACAAGGAGAAACCAAAAGGTCAGATTCGGTCGATTCGCTTTGGGCAACTAAGAAAACATCCGATTCAATTCAACCACTAAAGTAGGTAACCTAAAATGGGTGGTGACTTCACCCAATCCCAAAATGGGATCCCACCGGCTCTTGACAACCACAGCCGTTTCAAGTCCAGGGACTTGGGGAGGTCTCAACAAAACTTGGCCGTGAACCATGGGATCCCTTCCCGTCCCCGGCCTTCTCGATCCAGTTCCCCAGGAGCTGGGTCGACACCTCGCCTCCGGCAGCGCAGCGACCAACTTCTAAGGCTCCAATTCGAGGTTTTGGCCCTCAAAAATGGGTTGTTGTTTTGGCCCTCAAAAATGGGTTGTTGGTTTTTTTGCCCTCAAAATGGGTTGTTGTTTTTTTTGGGGCCCTTGAGGAATTGGTCCGAAATCGTCATTGGAGGCCCTTATGGGCCTGCATTGGAGGGGCCATGAGCCTTAGGGTTCAGAAAGAAGAACAAAATGAGTCTGCCGACCCTAAAAAAACCTATAAAGGCACATCGCCAACCATAAAAAGGAGAACCAAAGAAAACCACACCACAAAAGTCCAAGTCCAAAACCTGCCGCGAAATAAACAATGATTTAGCATGATTTAGTAATGCTTACAATGATTCTAAACCATGCCTGAACACGAATTGGATCGAGGCAAATGTAATTGTTGCCACCTTGTCTCCGCAAACAATGGGAGAAGTCTGGTCACATGGCGAGCAATTCCACCGATTCAAGGCAACACCGTCCACGTAGGTCTTTGATTCGGCCTTGGGTTGCCACACATTGTGGATGGACACAATCAATTTCGCACCACCGTTCAGAAACGCTGGTTTCTGATGGTTCCCCAACGTAAATACCAATAAAGGTTTTAGTTTCTCCCATGGCTTGCAAGTGGTGTCTCCTGTAGATACAAGTAACCGTTATCTTTTCAACCATGCTTCCTTTCGCGCGAGATTTGAACGAATTTAGCAACCATCCCATCATCTGTTCAATCCTCAGGATTGCCCCCCCAAACATCATGTGTTTGATTGTGATCGATTGTGGTCCAAATGAAGTGAACATTGAACATGCGTAACAAGTTATGGATGAACCCCTATGAATACCGGGGGGTGAGCCACTCAACTGCAGGGTGTGGTCCATCCACAGCATCTGCAACCCAAAGAACCGGCGAAGAAAAGAACCGGCGGAGCTTTGGCAACACTGGGCTCCTTGGAGCATGGGCGACATCTGCGCGATGATCTGCTTTTGCTCGTGCAAGCGGGTGAGGCTCCTCGTGAATGGGGGGGGGGTTCGGAGGAGCAAAAGATGTTCTAGGCTCAATGGGAAAAACCAGTTGTGTCGGCAATCTGCAAGCTCTTCCGGGACAAGGTCGCAACGTCAGACCAGCCAAGCTGCTACCCTCCAAGATCACTTGCTGAATGGAATGGACAAGAAAGTGAAGGACTTGCATGTGGCTTCTCAAAAAATGATGTTGAGCCCGGATTAAGAAGCCCCTGTTTATTAATATGGGGGTGTCCCCGGTGTTAGTAGATTTGTCACTCTTGGAGGGGAACACACCCATATGAATAAACGGGAGTTTATTCATCCGGGGTCAACATTAAGGGTGCCCCTTTGGGATGCCTTTTTTCAAGAGGAAACCACAAGCGCGTCAACCACCTGCAGGGGTCCCTTTGTGAGAAACATGTAAAAGGCTGGAGCCTTCAACTGGAATGGCTGGAGCCTTCCGTCTGTTGGCGAGAACTGATTTTTGAACAAGCGCAAGGGGCAACACTGGTGTCTTTGGGCAACATAGATGCACTCACTGGTCAATGGTTAGAACCAGGCTAAAAGCGAAAGAAGTGATCCCCATGCTTTCCAACCAAACCAACCTTGGCCAACTATCCCAAAGGCGTGTAGACATGTGCCAATTCCCTATGACATCTCCAAATCTGGAGGACATTTCACAAACATGGACCTTCGAATTCTTCTTGAAGAAGGGACACCACCCTCCATGTTTTAGGACAATCAGCCATCTTCATAGCTCGTTTGAGGGCTCAAGTACACCGAGTACATTTTCACAACCCCTGGTATGACAGACAAACTGACTGTTTCAGCCCCCCAAACCCAAAAATGAACAGAACAACAAAAAACAGAAACAACAAAAACGAGAAAAGCTGGATCCAAGAACAGTGAGAACATGGCCTACAAAGACCACCCTGTCCTGGACTCGTAGAAGTAGCGCCGGAGCTTGGTGCGGATGGGCATGGGCCTCGGGATTTTCGTGGATTTTCGGCTGCTCCTCTTCAAGAGGCGATCGATTCGGTACGTCGGGTAAGTGGTTGTATTTACCAAACCCGCAAAAGCGACTCAAGGATATGAGTCTGCCTTCAGTGGGTGAGTTCACCACGCTTACTAAGAACCCGAACGCCCCTTTATGCAATAAGGTGGATGCTGGAGGAACATCCAAAGGAAAACAGACCAGAATAGGGATCCCTGGTCGCTTGAGAAACGCCCATCTCTGGTCCCGCTTTCCCCAAAAAGACGTGGAAATATGAAAGGTTAACCTGGGACGTTTACTTAAACTGGACCAACACGGGAAGACCAAAAGGTGAGAAGGATGTCAAAATTTGATCGGCTTTGATCAAAGTGAGGCATGGTTGGTTCGTTGGCCACCTGGGGAATTCATAAAGGGAAGAAGACCTGGTGCCGAAAGGCTCCCATACCCAACTTTGGTATGAGAGATACGTCAACCTCAATCCAATTACCACCAAAGATGGTATTTGCTGTGGAAGGCCAAGTTCCTCAAAAGGCACACTGGACAACAAACGGATCTTGGGAGCAAGGCATCTCTGGATATTTTTATGATGCCCCCTCCCTTCCAAGCAGCAGCTACGATGGATGCTAGTCACTAGGGGATGTTTTGTCTGTGCATGCGTTTCTCCCTATTTTTTTTGGCAAGCGAGGTTGGATTACGCATGCACCAGTCACTGAACGTCGTCCCATCCATCCCGGCCGTTTGCCAAATTTGTGATCTCCAAGACGCATCTGGCGGTCCTTCAGCAGCCAGTTGAGATCATCCATGGTGCGCTTGAACGCCACCTCCACTCCACTGGCCCCAACCAGTCCCGTCCCCGGGAGAATTTTCTTGGCCCAACAAAACCGCTCGGATCCAAACTCCGGGGCTCCAGGTTGTGGCCGCCCACCAAACGGGAAGACCCCATCGATTTGTTGGCGGCTTGACTTGAGGGCAAGCCTCACGTATCGGCCATGGCATGTGCCAAGTGGTACTTGAAATAAGACGCGTGGCAAAAGGTGGCGTTGGCCAGGCGAGCCAACGGCAAAGCGCCACGGGCGAAGTGTAACGCCAACACTCGGGTGTGTCTTTGTTTACGGGAACCCCCGTTTGGTTGGTTTTGAACCCGAAGGCTCCTGGGGCTTTCAATGGAAGACCCGACCCCTCCAGACAGCTGGGAGGTGGATAGGGGTCTCAAAACCAGGTTGTTTGAAGGCCCGAAATCAATCGAATCGAAACTTCTGGGAAGGAAAACTTCACGGACAACTACCCCGTTTTTTGTCCTAGTCTCGCTTCCTGAGTGAACCGGCCTGAAAAAGTCAATTTTCTTTGAAATTACCACTACAATGGCAACCAACCCCAAAAAACTCAAAGTGCCAGAACTCCCGGAACTCAGGTCTATGTCGCGAGGAAACAAAAAGTGTGGTTCCTCTTTTTGTGTTGTATTTTTTTCTCGGAACCGGTCCGGGAAATGGAAACCACGTGTGCGAGCTTTTTTTGGGTAACGAAACCGGAACCCGAGGCACGTCGTGCGGCAGCAGCGTCGCCAGCACCCCGCACATCTGGCCGATGACCACGGCCCACATGGCGGCCATGAAGGCCATGCACACCGAGGCCACCACGTACTCGTACTGGTTCTGGGGGGTGATGTCCTGGGCGGTTTGGCGGGTTTTGAGGGGTTTGGGGTTGGTGGGTTGGGGTGGGGGGGTTTAGGGGGGTTGGGGGGTGTTGGTTGGGGGGTTGGGGGTTTGGGGCTTTGGGGGTTTAGTGGGAGTTTGGGAGTTTGGGGGTTTGCGGGTTTGGAGGGTTTGGGGGGTTTGGGGGGTTGGGTGGGCACTCCTGGGTTTGGGGGGTACAATGCACTTCGTAAGTGGGTAATGTCCATGGTCACCCACAAAAGCCAGGTTAAGGGGCTTCCTGGCCACGTACTAAGCACCCTGGCCCTTTAAAGTGGGGCTTGGGGGTTTTGGGAGGTACATTCCTGAAACTCGCCAAGTGAGGACCGATCCAAACCCCTCCTCGCGAATCGGCGGCGAGCTCGCAATGACTCCCACTGTACCAGTAAAAAACAAAAAGTGACACATACAGGAAGCTTCCTCCAAGCCTCTCCGTTGCTTGTTGCACCGCAGGAAAGCCAACTGACACCCTCATAGAAGTCCAACTCTTCTCCTTTTTGCTTGTTGATTCCACAAGCTGACTCAGCCCAAACATCATAGGAGTCTTCAGAGGGTACAAGTACCTTCTAAGGAGGTACTTAGACCCCCTTTTTTACCCCCAACAGCCATCCTCAGGAGTACTTGCACCCTGCGGGGTCTAACTTTTCTGTTTTTTGTTTTGTTGTTGATTGTTTTTATTCCCCACAAGTTGAATTGATTGTTCCGCCGGCGTCGAACGCCTCCCAGGAAAGAGCCGAGGCGAGTTGTTCACCGAGGCGCGCCATATCCGATGCTCGTGAGTGTCATGATGGCCTGGCGCAACAACAAGGGGGGAGCCCCACAAATAATTCTGATTCCCCATTCTGTTCAACCATCGTTCTTTTCAAACACCGGCGGGTTCCCCTGGGTTTTGGATGGTTTCCTGAAAAGAAGGATTGGAAAGAATGGGGAAGGTACCTAGAATGATGGGTTTACCGGTTGGATGTCCGTTTAAACCACAAAAAAGGAGAAGGGACCACCCTCAAAAATGACACCCCCACTTGAGTTGCTTTCGCACAACTGCAAGCCATGTCCAAGGAGGGGAAACAAACTGTTTGCCCATTGGTTATGTGCTTTGGCCATCTCGGCCACTTAACTTCACTAAGTGCAAAACTGAGAAGCTCTGACAACTCGTCAAACTAGGGTGACCCCCACAAGGGGTGGTTTGCTTTTAGTGTCCTTAAGCCCCAAAAACGGCTCCCTCAACCAACACACCCAATCAACCTTTGACCTGAACTCTTAGTGGATTCTCATTCCAAAATCGGGGGACCCCCCAAAATGGACAAACAAAACCACCCCCTAAGAAATGCAACACTAAAATTGAAAAAAAACAACAAAAAAAACCGACCCCTAAGCAAAACAACACTCAAATGGACCAAAAAACACCGCGACCCCTCAGAGGTCCCTTTTTTGGGGGGGGGGGGGGGGGAAAGGTGAGAAAACGCCCTCCCCCCCCCATACCCCACGCGGCCCCCTCAGAAATACAACCTGTGGGAAGAAAAAAGTGGACCCCCCCAAAAAAATATCCCCAAACCCCCCAAAACCCAAAACCCCCCAAACCCACGCGGCCACGTGGCCCAGTACACGGAGATGGTGTAGACCCCCGGCCACTCCGTGTAGAGCCTGGGATCCCCTCCTTTGGACCTCAGACGCCGCCAAAGCCGAAAGCTCCCCAACAAAAACCCGTTTTAGTTTGCGTTGTTGGTGTCAAACCAAAAGACACCCCCCAAAAAACGGGTTTTACATGGTAAACACCTTGTTTTTCAAAAACACACGACGTTTTTAGTGGCCACAAGTGGGCTACCCCTCCGCATCATACCCCCTACTCCAAATACCTTTTCTTTTAATGATGTTAACCCTTTATTCAATGAAACGTATTTATTCACTGTCGACCACCAGCCTTTTCAACAAATGCACTAATCATACCCCTTGGTGATGTCCTTCCCTTTACTTAAAAAAGAAGGTAAAACACACAACGGGCATTTGCGGGAAAAAAACAGGGTGTTTACCATGGAATCCATTTTTACACCCACTGCCAAACAAAAAAAAGAAGCTAAAACAAGGTGTTTACCATGGCAACCATTTTTTACACACACTGCCAAAAACATAACGTGCATTTGAAAAAAGAAAGCAAGGTGTTTACCATGGAAACCATGTTTTACACCCACTGCCAAACAAAAACAGCACTGGACTAACAAGGGAGTCCACCGAAAGACACCCAAAAAAACCTGGTGGTAGAGGGGGTCTGTTGGCTTCCCTCCAAATGCTTTGTTACAAGGCTTCAAATCGAGAGACACAGTTTGGGTGTACATGTCCCTTTCCATGTATCATCGCCTTCATTGGGCGTTGAGTCACCTGTCATCGCACGGGTTGAAATGCTTTGCAGACCCCTTCCCTGCAAATACCCACAGGGGGTCCACCACCTTTGAGGAATTCCCAGCGGTCGCCTCGAATGCCAGCTTCGCGCCAATTGACTCAGGACTCAGCGACTCAGGTAGGGGCAAGCCTCTGGGCATCTTGCCCATTTTCCTCAAAGTACCCCTTCCATTTGGTTAAGACCCCTGGAACAAATACTTCCAGTAGTGATAGATTCCCTTGAAAACCAACAGGGCTTCTTCACCAAATGGAAGACCCTTTTAAAAAATGTGTGTCGTGGGGCAACCACCAACTTTTAAGGTCATTTGAGCCTAAAATTGGCGGCGATGAGGGGTCTGACGACCCCCACCCCCAACACCACTGTCAGCCCCCAATGGCAGCAACAAGTCAGCTTTCACTTTTTTGTTGGGAATACGAATTCTGGGCCACTTTGGGGTTGTCGTCCGCTTCTGGTCCTCAAGCTAAGAGATTGCCAGTGATATTGTCAGTCACTTAGCATGCTGTGTTTTGTTGGAAACCCGCCCGCTACGGCAGTGACAGGCTGACCTCTCTATGTCCTCTTTGAACTCCCTTTGAACTCACTTCCTGAATGGATTGGCCCAACCAACGCTAAACTTTTTCTTCACCATGCACTGAAATTGCTCAAAGCCGAAAAAAGTACAAAGTCGGAAACGGGATGCCTGAAAAAACCAAACAAAAGGCTGAAGTGGCTCATTCGCCAAGAAAGGTAGATGCTTGAAAAAACCGAAGGAATTTCTGAAATTGCTCATTGGCCAAGAAAAGTAGATGCTTGAAAAAACCGAAGAACGGGGAAACACATCGGGAGACCTCGTCGCCGCTTCCCTTTTTTTTCTTTCTCCAAGCGGCGCTTCCAGTGCTTCCAGCCAGCTGCCTTCGCGGTGGCACCAGGCGATGTGGCCCCAAAGGCAAGCCATCCAATGGCAGTTGAAGGAGAGCACCTCAGCAAATCCGCCTAGACAGCCGATTTGCCGGTTTTCAGTCACTGCTAATTGGTTTTTGGGGGAAAGTTCATGGAGAAAAGCGATCGCAACTGGCGATCCAGGCACTTCCTTTCGCATTGTCCGTTGAAAATCCAACAGCGGACAAGTACCATTTGCATTGTTCATCCCCTTGAGAACCAAAAAGCAAAACTCCATTGGTGCTCGATTCCCGTTGAAAATCCAACAGCGGACAATAACACGGAGGCCACTGGATTTCCTCTCCAAAGTTGACAATTTACTGGTGGGTTCCACTGAAACTGCCACTCTCTGAAGGACCGAAAAGAGGAAATGGAGTGATTTCTCGAACATTGGTGGATTTCCAACCCTTCAAACAAACCCGCGAAAGCGTTCCCGTTCTCGGTGGATTTATGGGGGAGAAGAATCGTGCCCATAGGAAAAAAGGGCACTGTATGAGTTGTGTGCGTTTGCCTCCAAACAAAGAGAAACCAAAGGCACCACCCACGTCTCCCCTGGAATGATGATTCCCCTGTACATACCAACAAACAATGGATTCCCATGTTTTTCAGGTGGTGCAGGATTTTGTCCATCCACAGTATTATATTAATGAATGCTAAGCCAAGATGGCTTCCACTTACGATTTGTCCGAGGTTCTTTAGGTATGCGGCCCATGGAAGAAACAAACACCTGCACTGGGCAACACATCCCCCCGCATAGCCAAGCCTGACTTTCTGGAGGGTTATCCTCTAAAAGAGGCATGGGGTCCATTGGTTTCGACCAAATCCGGTGATACTGTAGCTTCTAGACTCGTAAGAACCACGCTAAAACGAAGGTTCTTGCCAACCAATGATGCTTGGTGCGCTCTCTGTAAGTGTAGTTTCTTTGGTTCCGGGTATTCTGCACTTACGGCAACTCACAATCAGGACTCGTGCCTGGAGGCTTCATGAGGCTCGCTTACCCGTTGCGTCTCCCGCTCATTCTGAATGAGCAAAGGGTGGGTTTCGTGGGAAAGTGTCCAAAAGGTCTAAGGCCAACATTGCATGCTGTGCACTCAAAAAGGTCTAAGGAGCAATTTGGTCGCGCCCATGACAAGCCAAGTACTCTCAGAGGTGTCGGGGTCTCTGCCCAAAATTGGGCTGTTTGGGGCAGCTTGGGAGGGTGGATACTGATGATTCCCCTGCAAATAGCAAGAACAATGATGGCTTTAAACATGGTTTGCCGTGATGCTTCCGTGCGAAAAGTATCACCTCAAACAAATCTTCCGCCGGATGGAACTAAAGCCGGAGGCGCCACCAGGAACTTGATGAGGGAGAGGAGGGCAAAACTGATACCTTCCATGGTCTCGCCAGAACCCCCTCAAATTGCTTTCCTCATGGGCCTGGCCTTTTTTTCAATTTGCCTTTTTTGGGGTTGGTCGAAAGGGGGAACCAAAGTTGGAAGTGGGGGGCTCGGAGCAACCTAGGCCTTACAAGTGTGGAGTGAGGAGTGACTTTGACGAAGCAACCTGGTCAAAGGCAGCCTCACTCACGCAGAAGCAAGTGGCTAGATTCAGCAAGGTCTCTCAAATGATAGGTCCGGAAACCACCTGCTTTACAAGGATCTAAGGAGCCTCCGGGTCAGAGACTCCATTTTGTCCACTGCCCAGGGTATATTTCAAGGACCCTGTTCAAAAAGGTAAAACAGTGAAATAAGTTGGTTGGGCCCACCCCACTATCGCTGGGTGGTTTCGACCGCAAAACGTTCACTTGAAACAATGCCTCATATCACAGCGCTTGGTCCGCAGCAGAACCGCCATAGCAACCAATGAGCTCTGGGACAAACACTCACCGAAACCGAGCTTGTTTTCAATAGGGTTGCCCCTTGATGCTGGTTTCTCAGAAACCGCATTGATATGCATTGATGACTGGTTTCTCAGAAACCGCACTGATATATGTATATATATATATATATTGATGACATAAGGATCCACGCAGGTTCTACGAAGCTCGAAGCGTTCATTATGTCTGCGCGGTCTGCCGAACTGCTTTTCAGGCGCGGAAGAAGCCAGAAAAAAACGGGTTCCTTCCATGTCCCCTGCTTCCACTTGCCTTTTCGACCCCTGCAAAAATGAACAAATTCTGTCAAGCCAACAGGGGAAAAATGAAAAACATATTCATTGCAGCAAATGGAAGCCTGGAAACATGCAGGAGGCTCCAAACAAATGGCCGAGGCAGTGGGAGCTCACAGCCAGTCAAGCTCAGCTTGAATCTGGCCGCTGTCCCCCCCATGGTACGGGTTGCCCCAAGTCACCACAGAGCCGTCCTCCAGGATGGCAGCAAAAGAACCCTCAGTTGCTTGGACTTGCTGCACGTGCGCCAGCTGCTCCCGTGCCTGGCTGCTGTCACCGCCGCAGTCAGGATCTCCCCAAGTTACCACAGAGCCGTCATCCAGAATGGCAGCAAACGAAAATGGAGATGCTTGAATCTGCTGGACGCACACCAACTTCTCTTGCACCTGGCTGCTGTCACCGCCACAGTCAGGATCGCCCCAAGTTACCACAGAGCCGTCGCCCAGGACGGCAGCAAACGCACCTGCCCTTGCTGCTTGGATCTGCCGCACAGCGACCAACTGCTCGCGCACCTGGCCGCTGTAACCGCCCTCCTTTGGATCGCCCCAAGTCACCACAGAGCCGTCATCAAGGATGGCAGCAAACGCACGACCAGTTGCTTGGACCTGCTGCACGCGCAGCAGCTGCTCTTGCACCTGGCTGATGTCACCGCCAAATCTTGGATCGCCCCATGTCACCACGGAAAAGTTGTCCAAAATGGCGGCAAAAGCATAGTCAGTTGCTTGGATCTGCCGGACTCGCATCAACTGCTTGCGCACATGGCTGCTGTCACCGCCGTAGCTTGGATCGCCCCAAGTGACTACAGAACCATCATCCAGGATCGCAGCAAACGCACACTCAGTTACCTGGATGTGCTGGACGCGCACCAGTTGCTCGCGCACCTGGCTGCTGTCACCGCCAAATCTTGGATCGCCCCAAGTCACCACGGAGCCGTCATCCAATACGGCTGCAAAGGAACCATCGCTTGCTTGCACTTGCTGGACGCGCACCAGTTGCTCCCGCACCTGGCTGCTGTCACCACCATAGTCAGGATGGCCCCAGGTCACCACAGAGCCGTTGTCCAGAACAGCAGCAAACGCAAACTGAGTTGCTTGCATCTGGTGGACGCGCAGCAGCTGCTCTTGCACCTGGCTGCTGTCACCGCCACAGTCAGGATCGCCCCAAGAAACCACAGCGCCTCCTGTGACATGAAGGGCAACTGCCCTGGCTGTGGAAGCTAGCTTCACCGGCTGCACGATGGCATCAATGCTGTCTCCATCTTGCACGCCCGCGTCCCTGACAGTGGCCCGGAGATCGAGCAGCTGGCCCTTGAAAGCAAGCCTCAGTTGCCCAGTTTCCTGGAACTTAAAAGCTGAGAGCACCTTCCGGGCTCATGACCAAAAACGGACCAACATTTTGGAACGCCAACAGCTTAAAACAGGCTGTGGGGAATGACCGCTTCTGTCATACAACAGAAACGGCTTCCCAAATACTACTTTATTCATATATATATATATAAAGGGGGATTCCCTTGTATCACAGAAGTGGGGAGAAACTCCTTGATCCCACAACCCTGGCTGAAAAGGTCGATTTTCTCTTACCGAGACGCTTCAGAAAGCGGCGCCTGAGCCCCCGCTGCGCCTTGACCTTCACTTCCCCCACGCTCGACTCCGGCGACAGCGCAACAGAGCAGCTCCTGCCGCTTACCAGGCGCACAGTCACTTCCATCGCCGAAGCTTCCGAGCGCTCGGCCGGACACCCATCGACCCAAAACCGATACCTTCCTCCTTGCAAAACCGATGGGGAACGCCGAAAAGCAGGGCCCTGGGAAGATTAATGGTTGCTCATCTATACAAATAAATAAATAAATAAATAAATAAATAAAATAAACAAAATAAACAAATAAACAAACAACAAAATAGATAAATATCTATATATATGGATATGTACCCCCTTCAAAGCCTTCAAGTCATATGTCCCCAACATCCACTTTATCCCCTAGAACCGATACCCTGCAAATGCTGTTGGTTGCTCATGTCTTTGCACTGCTACGGAAACTTGCGCCGCCTCCGTGCTGCGCAACGCAGCTGGGCAGCAATGACTGCAACACACTAAACGTCCCGGAGGTCAAAGCACACCCCGACCGAGAGAAATGGTCCTGATGGGGGGAGCAATGTGCAGGTTCGATTTGCTTGCTTTTGGGAGGGTATATAGAAAACGGGTCCCACAAAGAAGGACAGGACTCAAAAGGTGCCGCTGAACAACTGAGCCTTACCCTACTGCCTATGGCTCTCTCTCACTCGCACAAATATGGTGGAGGGGAGGGGGATCGAGTTGTCCCTTCATATGACCCGCCACGTACGTTGAGGTGTGATATGTGCTGGTGGAGTGCGTATGTGCTTGTGCGTTTCTGTGTTTCCGCAGTTGTGAAGTGATGTGTGTCTGTGTGTGTTGAAGCTGTTTCTTGGCTTGCTTGCCTGTCTGTATGTCTGGCTGCTTGCTTGCTTGCTTGCTTGCTTGCTGGCTGGCTGGCTGGCTGGCTGGCTGGGTGGGTGGGTTGGTTGGTTGGTTGGTTGGTTGGTTGTGTGATTGTGTGTTTGCGTGTTTGCGTGTTTGCTTGTTTGTTTGTTTGTGTTGTTTGTTTGCTTGTTTGTTTGTTTGTGTTGTTTGCTCGTTTGTTCGTTTGCTTGTGTGTTTGCGTGCTTTTTTAGTTTGTTTGCTTGTTTGCTCGCTTGCTTGCTTGTTTGTTTGTTTGTGTGGTTGTTTGTTTGATTGTTTGTTTTGTTATTTTGCGTGTGTGTGTGTGTGTGTGTGTCTCCTCCACTGTGTATCTCTGTCTCTCTCTCTCTCTCTCTGTCTGTGTTGCGTTTGCGTCCGTGTTTGTGTGTGTGTGTCTGTGTGTGTGTTTCGCGTTTGTGTGTCTTTGTGTGTGCTTCGCGTTTGTGTGTGTGTGTGTGTGTCTGTGTCTGTGTTGTGTTTGCGTACGTGTTTGTGTTCGCGTTTGTGTGTGTGTGTGTCTGTGTCTGTGTTCATGTGTGTGTGCTGGCTGGTTCGCATGATTGTGTGTTTTTTTTTTTTCGTGCTCGTGATTGCAGGTGCGTTCGTTGTTCGTGCTCGATTGTGCTTGTGTGTGCGTGGTCCGGTCGGCTGGTGTCTATGCCTGTATCTATGTCTATGTCCCAGTCTGTCTCCGTGCTCTTGCGTTCGTGTGTGCACGTGTTCCTGTTTTGCCAGTTGTTTGGCTTGCCAGTTCGTTTCCGCGCTTGTGCATTTGGCTGCGCACGCCGCAAAACATGTTGTCTTTCACAGCCAGGCAAGCTGACTCTGCATCATGCTGCTGTCACCGCCATGCCTCGAACGGCCCCATGTGACCAAAGAGCCATCCTCCAGGATGGCAGCAAAAGCAGCGTCCGTTGCCTGGATCTGCTGAACCTGCACCAACTGCTCTTGCACCAGGCTGTTGTCACCACCTGCCTCAGCATTGCCCCAAGTCACCACAGAGCCGTCGTCCAGCAGGGCAGCAAAAGCAGTCCCTGTTGCTTCGATCCGCTGGACCCGCACCAACTGCTCCTGCACCTGGCTGCTGTCACCGCCATAAGCTTCATTGCCCCAGGTCACCACGGAGCCGTCATCCCGGATGGCAGCAAAAGCGCCTTGAGCAGTCGCTTGGATCTGCCGGACTCGCACCAGCTGCTTTTGCACCAGGCTACTGTCACCCCCAAAGATTTCGGATCCCCAAGTCACCACAGAACCGCTCTCCAAAATGGCAGCAAAGGCCCCCGCAGTGGCCTCAATCTGCTTGACCCCCACCAGCCTCTCACCCCGCTTCATTTCACCCCCGTACCTTGGGTGGCCCCAAGTCACCACCGAGCTGTCGTCCAGGATGGCAGCAAAAGCAGAGCTCGTTGCTTGGATCTGCTGGACCCCCAGCAACTCGCCATGACCATCACTTGGACTGCCCCAAGTCACCACAGAGCCATCCTCCCGAACGGCAGCGAAGGAACCAGTGCTGCTCTGGATTTGCTGGACCCGCACCAGCTGCTCTTGCACATGGCTGCTATCACCTCCTAGTAGGTCAGAGCCCCAGGATACCACAAAGCCATCGTCCAGTGTGGCAGCAAAAGCACCTGCGGTCCCTTGGATCTGCTGAACCTGCAGCAAGCGCGGCTGCACCTGACTGCTATCACCACCATCTCTCGGATCGCCCCAAGTGACCACAGAGCCGTCCTGCAAGATAGCAGCAAAAGCAGCCCTGGTTGCTCGGATCTGCACCACGCGCGTCAACTGCTCTTGTACCTGGCGGCTGTCCCCTCCCATGTCTGGATTGCCCCAGGTAAGCGCGGCGCCTCCTTCAACATAGAGAGCGAATGCTTCACTCGTAGAAGCGAGCCTGACAGGCTGCACGATGGCATCAATCCTGGCCCCATCTCGCACGACCTCACCCAAGGTAGATGCCAGATCTAGCTGCTCACCCTCCAACGCGAGCCTCCACTTGCTTAAGGCCCCTAGGCAAAAAGAACAGTTGTAATAGATTCCTGTTACCCTCTCGCCAATTAACATAGAAACTCACAAAGGTTCCCTTTAAAAGGAACATGGCTTTCCATGACCCCCCGAACGTCAGGTTCCATGTCATTTGCAGGTAGAGTAAAATCAATGGGAGAGGAAAAGCCTCAAGAAAGGGTAAAACCAACAGGGAGGGTCAAACCAACCAGGGAGGCTTCCAAAATCCATAAAAATATAACGGGTTTTTAGGAAACCACATCGTTTCAGCTAAAATTGCAAGCCTCAAGAAGCCGCGCTTCAGCCGCCGTTGCACCTCTGCCTTCAACTCCCACCCCCTCGACTCCAGCGAAAGCGTCACCGAGCAGCTCGTCCCACTCGTCAAGCACACGTCCACGGCGAGCATGGCAAGATGGTGAGTTGTGCCCCTACCATTTGGGTAATGCTAGCCCGGATTTTTTGTTATAAACCCGTCCTGTTCATAGGGCCCCTCGCCCCTCCAAAAGTGATGAACCCCAAATAAAGGGGAACATGTTCAACTGGCAGTGTGTTCATGCAAGGTTCCCATTGTGTTTTTCAACATAGAGGGCTGGGGACTGTGGAAGTGCACTTTGTAGCTATATACTGATCTGCTTGGGCATGCACGTCTGTATCTGCTTCGTGATTTGATTTGCGTATGCTGAACTTTGATTGAACAAAATGTGCTCAAATGTAGCTTGTAACTTTATTGCAATTATTGCCATTGGAAAGGAACTCCTGTGCACACTTTAATAATTAATAGTTCCTATCTAACCTAAAATTAACTTAGAAGTTATGATTGGATGATGCGCTTACTAAATTATAGTGAAAAACAGATCGAAATTGGGTAGAAATTAACAAAGGTAGTAAGTCTACTTTCATAAGAACACAGTAAGAGTAAAACAGTGTTTTGTAGCGCTTTGTCTGCACTACACTCACATCTCCAAACGGCCACTCTCTAAAATCTGATGACACTGTGAATATATATAGTATCAAACATGGGACTCGCAAAATAAATACTTGCTCCGAATCATAGTGAACATTATATCCTGATAGAAATCCTTCCTCGCAAAATAGAACTTCACAAATCAACTAGGGTTTAAGCATAATTTGATAAGGAATCCTCCACTCAGCATTCCTGCCTTAGAATTGAATTGAAATCAGGACGCCATTCTGTTTCAAAGAAGACTTTGCACAGGATTGTCCCATATTATTTTACTTACAATTCAGTCCACATTTACACACACAATTCATTCAACAAGAATTCAACTCGAATTGCAGATGTACACTGGACCTGTAGGACATTTCTTCCACTACCAAACAAACCCACTGGATCAGCTAAACACCACCTTTTCACAGAACGAAAGTGCAACTCTTGCATTGGTACTTGGGGGCCACTCCCAAAAAGCTTGCAAACAGGAACCTGGACCCTCAAGCAATCCATCAAACTGGGACATTGCCCTAACATGCTGGGGTGATTCCAGTCATTTTCTCGGGGGGTACTTGGAGGGTCCTGGCACCCTCATGAACAAAAACGAATGCCTCACGCTCCTCAACCTACTTCTTCTCCCCCAATGCAGCCCGTTGGGTCATACGATCTGCGAAAGAAGCTGATTTAAGGGATCCCCAAGGAAAGGACCCAATCATAGGCGCCCTTTTAGAAAAATGGATGGCCCTGGCGGGTAGGCCCAGTCATAGAATGTATATTTGAAATATTTCATGCTTCACTTTGAGACACTGGTGCAATGTAAAATGTAGGCTAAGTCTAGACAGGCCATCTATGTTCAACCAAGCCTTCCAAGAAAGTGACACCAGGCCACCTCTGGGCCCACTCCACCCAGTCGACGCGGACTCCGATCAAAAGCCTCGCCTACGTTCGCCTGGCGCCGGCGGCAGATTTGGATGGCGCTGTGCAGCCGCAGGAGCCGGAGGACCCGCAAGTGCTGCAGCTCCTCCGGGGCGACGTTTTTTGCGGAAAAAAAATCCGAGGTGGGTGGGTGGGGGGTGGCTGTGGGTGGGGGTAGGGTGGGGGTGGGTGGGGGTGGGGGTGGGTGGTGGGGGTGTGGGGGTGGCCCCTTCCCTATGCTTTCCAGAGATAGAAAACCTCAGAAACCCGTTTAGAAAAAGCCTAGAATTTGCAAAGGATGGTTGGAAAAAATGGGGAAGCAACCCGTAAAAAGACTTTCTTTGGGGTCTTTAAGGGGAGGGCCTACATAATTAGAGTCCAAGGACCTACTCCCTACTCAAAATACCAACGCATTGTTCAGGGTAGTTTCGGGAAAAAGACACCTGGCTTTCCATGGTGAATACCTCCTTTTTGATACCCTGAAAAAAAGAGGATGTTTGGAGTAGAGGGTTTTCTAGGGTCTCAAGACCCTCTTTGGGGAACACCACTCCCTGCTTGGATGTTCGTTACCGTGGTAAACGTAGAGAGTTTGGTTACTTTTTTGGGATCCAATCCACTCGAACACTGAAGTGAGACGACAACTTCCCTAGGTTCTTGGACTCCAAACTAGGTCTTCCTGGAGTTTCCATGACCCTCAAAAAATGGGTTCATGACCCCTTTATTGTGGGTGACCCCAGTTTTTTTTCCAGGTTCATGAAGCCTCCAGGTTGATTTTTGTTTAGGTTCTTGGACCCTAAACATGAAGGCTTTCCTCTTAAAGACCCCATGGGACCAAATTTCCCGAGGTTCTTGGACCCTAAATACGTGGGCCCTCATCTTAAAGACCCCAAAGGTATGGTTTCGATCGAAAAAATACATTTTGAGTTTTCCCAAACTCTATGGATCGGGCCCTGGGGTTCCACATTCCCAATGTAACTACACACAAAAAAGCGTTGGAACTCCCCAACATGTTGGGGCAGGAACCAATTTTTGAGCGTGGTTTCAGGGGAAACCGGAACTCTAACGCCAACTCAGGGCCCAAAAGCCAGAGCTAGGCGAAGTTGAAAAATGGACCCGGGCAATTAGAATGCCAGGGAGGCCAAGGGACGGCTGATTCATCGGATCCAAACATCCAAGCCCGCAAAAAAGAAAAGAAAAGAGCGGAATGAGATTGGTTCGTTTCGGTTTAGAACATGGTCATATTTGAAGACCTCCCAGCATGTGATTTGTCCGAAACTGGAGCTGAAAAGCATGTCCTTGCAAAACTCCTGCCAGCTCCGAAAGGCACCCTCTTCGAAGTCGCAAAAAAATTGGATACCCCCAGCTGCGGAACGGCTCCCTTCCAACCAGCTAGACAAACCAACCACTGGCGTTGAAGTCCCCTCGGTTCCAAACTTCAAATGCGTCACGTGAGGAAACAACGAAAACCCTAATCCATGCATAAATAACTACAGGGCGGCCGCACCAGCGGACACTTCCAGAGTGGATTTGCCAAAGCAAGTCTAGTTTCTGGTTGTTTGTCACTAAAATTGTCCAAGCCTCAAAGCAACTCAAATCCAGGAAATACTGGATCTACTCAAATGATATCCTCAAAATGACGCTCTAGTTCAAGCAACCCCCAACAGTAATCTTCATTGTGGCTCAAATGGGGCACTCATTGGCTGTTGGACACTGCTGTGGTTTGTATGGGCCTTACTATCCCTTGGAAGATGGTCAATCGGTTTGTTGAGCGCAATATTTTGAGGGTACCTTTTTCAGATTGTTTCTTCAGGGAGCCAAAAGCAGTATCACCATGTTTGGGTCGCCCAATTTTTCAGGTAACCCTCAATTGGTGGTTTGGATTGATGATTTGGATTTGGATTTGAGCCCCTGGTTCTAGAGGATAAATGGGACAACACCTTTTGACGCACGATACTTGAACAACTGTGGTTTTCCATGGCAAATACCTCCTTTCTCAGTTTCCCTCTGATTGGTGGTTTGGAGGCCCATTTACCCACAAGAACCTGGGGTTCAATTCCAAATCCGAATCACCGGGCCCCAAACCGCCAATTGCGCAATTGGGGGCGGGATAAACATCTTACCCTTCAACCAACGTGGGTACTTGGCGGGAAGCTCGACCAGCTCTATTTGGGTGTCTTTTGGGGGCCTCCCTTGCCAGGGTAGGATGTCAACCCAAACCCCAACAAATAAGGTTGTTTTCAGGTTCTTCGCAAAAACAAACAAGCAAAACCGCCTGGTCTTTGGAGCTTTCGGGGGACAATCGACCCACGACCTACTCTTGACCCGTTGATCAGTCCCCGAAGAGTTGGTACGGAAAGGTCGTGGCCAGGTCGATGACGAACCAACCCGTCAAATATCGCCAGGCGATGCTCCTGCCGAATCAGCCTCTCCCCTCCCTTTCCCTCGCGGGGTTTCGCCAATGTGCAAGGTGGCATGTCGCTTGTGTCCTTTTGGTTTCCCTTGCCACTCACTTCCCAAGTTGACTGGCCAAAAACAGTCCGAACTTTTTATTCACCACTAAAATGGTCTTTCCAACAAGTTTAAAGTCCACCAACTCAGGAAGTGAGGCCATGCAGCTTTTCCCTTAGATCCCTCAAAACCTGTTTGCTTCCGCTCCACGGGCCCGAAATCGGAAATCGCGCCGCAACCAAACGCGACAAGGCGAAAATTTGCGTTCGGCCGGCGGAAAGCCTCGAGGGGCTTCGGTCTGAACGGCCCTTCTCGCGCCTAACGTTCCTAAAGGAAGCACCACGCCGCGATCTGTGGGTCCAAAATAATCCAGTGAAGCTGCAGCCAATTTAGTTGGAGGCTTATATGGTTTCAATCACATGGTTCAAATCTCAGGCAAACCACTGGGGCCAAGAGGTGTGATTCTCCCACCCGAAAACGGGACATCCAAACCAAGCCCCGAAACGGGAGAGGCCCGATGGCCCGATGGCCCGATGGCCCGGCAGCAAAAGGGGCAAGCTTCCTGACGTCTCGCACGTAGCGGCTTCGTGCAGTATCGAAGTAGGCGGTGAAAAACTGGAGGATCATGTCAAACAGAAAGGCGGCGTCCTTGGCCGCGTGGTGGGCTTCCTTTTGAGGTCGTTTTCTCGTCTTCGGCCCCCAAAAAGAGCAACCTCAAGACAGACAGACACTTGTGATGGAAAGGGAAAAACAACGAGACAGGGCTCGTTGAAGGAAACCACATCTTCATTATGAGGAGGCAAAGCTGGATGGAAGGAAGCTTCAAAAGCGCCCGGACTCAAAGGGACACCGCGCCCATAGTTTTAGGGCAATAACACATTTTCAGTGGGTACAGGGTCCAGGTACTCAAATCATCTTCAAAGCAACCTGAGCTAAACCGTGTGTAAAAAACAACAGCAACATACTCAAAATAAGACCCTTCAAACTGTCACCACTGTATGCAGCCAGCCCAAGGGGGGGGGTTCAGGTTTTGTTTCGGTCACATGGCTTGACCTGTGGAGTCGGTCAGACCAGCTCGAATGATTTGCGCCAAAAGTGAAGACACCTATACTTGGGTGGTCGGCTCGTTCTTTTGGGTGAAACAAAAACCGAAGTGACGTTTTCCATTCCTAGCTTGGCTTTCCAAGCCGAGTCATACATCGAGGAAGGTCTTGCATTTTGGTGGGGCGGGACTTGGGAGCAGTTGCTGTATTGCGCCTTTTGGCTCAAAAAGATCCATGGAAGTTTGAAGGTACCTTCGACAAAAAGCGCCCTGGAAGATCATTTCAGGGTGCTTGTCTTGGGCGGTGCCCGCTCATAAAAAAATGGTGGCTAAGGAAAGGGCAAGTCCAGCAATGCACATGGGATTGTGGGTTACTTCTTAAAGCCAAAACTGGTTCAGTACATGAGTCATCGCTTCGCCCCCTACATTCGTAGCTGCAAAAAAAGAGTCGAAAAGAATTGCCGAGCTGGAAACCAAACACCAGAGAACACCAGCAAGAAGCCGTCAGAACCCATCGAGGGTTCCTTAACCCCCAGGAGTTTCAAGTGAAGTCTCCTTCAGGAGGCCTCTATGCAGTCCCCGCCATTTGCTGAAAATTTTCGCGCCCTGGAAAGAACCTGGACCCCCAAACGACCCCGGTTTTCTGCCTTTGTACCCCTTTTTTTTGGGTCAAAGGCAGCAAAAAGGGGTCCTTTGGGGGTCCAGGAATGAGTCACTTGCCCGGTTCGGTGACTCGCATTAGAAGAGCCAACATGAATCTAAGGTGGTGGCCGCGATCTAGGGGCTTGTTTCATGGGCTGCTGTACTGCTCACTTGCCCAGAAAGGATTCAGAAATAAAAGGTGATCAGCTTTTGGGTCCACTAAAACTAGACCAAAAAGGAGAAACCAAAAGGTCAAAAGGTCGATTCGCTTTGGGCAACTAAGTTTGTCCTCTAGCCTTGGTTGCTGTTGACCCCCCTTCAGAAAGTTGTTTTTTTTTTTGGGGGGGGTCACCCGCTTTTACTTCCTAAAAAGTTAACGTCTAAAGATCCAACCCAATAGCAGTCAAGTAATTAGTGAATATGCCCTGCAAGTAAGCCAACCCATACCCACGAAACCATGGACAAGTCCAGTCAATTCGTCAGAGTCCCCCACGAAACCATGGACAATTCCAGTCAATTCGTCAGAGTCCCCCACGAAACCATGGACAATTCCAGTCAATTCGTCAGAGTCCCCCACGAAACCATGGACAATTCCAGTCAATTCGTCAGAGTCCCCCACGAAACCATGGACAATTCCAGTCAATTCGTCAGAGTCCCCCACGAAACCATGGACAATTCCAGTCAACTCGTCACCCCTGCCCACACGAACGACTCCGGGTCTCTGAGCAGTGAGTGCTCGGAACCTTTAGGGGTGTGTTGGGGGTGGCATAAGACCAACAAACACACACACACACACACACACACACACACACACACACACACACACACACACACACACACACACACACACACACACACACACACACACACACACACACACACACACACACACACACACACACACACACACACACACACACACACACACACACACACACACACACACACACACACACACACACACACACACACACACACACACACACACACACACACACACACACACACACACACACACACACACACACACACACACACACACACACACACACACACACACACACACACACACACACCACCCACCGCCCAATTCTTGGTTGCTGTTACCCCCCCGCAAAAACAAGCTGAACTTTTCGGGGTTTAGTTGAAAACCCAAATGATTCCAACCAAAAGGTTAAAGTCTAAAGATCCGTTGCCCAAGAGCAGTCAAGAAAATTCGGGGCCCCCCGTAACCCCAAGTTGAGTCCCCGAGCGCCCAGCGCCTTCCGCCCGCCAAATCCCCCCCCCCCGGATCGATCGATCGATCGAGGGCGCGATAGCCCAGATCACCATGGAGGACTCTTCGTGTCTGGCCAGGTCCTGAGCTGCACGGGAGACCTTCGGGCTGCCTGGGCCTCAACTAGGTCCTCCAGATTTGAGAGCTTAGAATCATTTGGTACCGTCTATTTCAGTAGGGGGTCTATTTCAGTAGGGGAAGCCTCCCCCAAAAAAGGGGCAAAAGGGCACTACTGGGGGACCTAGTCAAAACTACCCAAACTCCCTCAAACTACTTATAACAACCGGGTTCTTGCCCCAAACTTATGCGATAAATCCCCATTCTTTTATGGCTAGTTTGACGGTCCAGGTGCCCGTCTCCGATCGTTGATCCACGGCTAAAAGTCGAACACTGTTAGGGTTAAATAGGGAAACTACAACAACATCCAACAAACAAAAACTGAGGGGATGGCTGGGAGCCAGAAAGAAATCATACCGTGGATGGACAAACAAAAGTAAACCAACCATACGAAACACCTACTACAAAACCTGGGTGCCGGTCGCTTGCGCGTGCGATAGCAAATTTATTCACTGGCTGGGTGAAACAAAAAACCGAACAACTTCGGCGCAGTTCACTTGCAAGTGCCGTTGCCAATGAATTCAGGTACACTGGCTATACACACATCAGGTGGATGGCTTGAACCTTTTTAGCACGAAACCAAAAAAGAAGGACACCTGGTAATTTTGCGTAGGTTGCAGTTGGTTTGTGGTCAAGTATGGCTGGTCTACTTGAAATGAAGGGGCATCTGGATCCAAGGAAAGGGCCTGCATGGCTTTTGGCCTTGCGCTTGGGCCTCCGCTTGCGTTTGGCCCCTGGCAAAAATATCGCAACTCCCGTGGGAATCTTGGAACCTGACGTTCGGCTCCTTGTTGGCATCACGTTCCTTTGAAAGGGACCGGCTCCTGAACGTCGAGTTTCGGCTGTGACAACGCTGGGAGGCTTTCCCTTTAAACCTACTTGCTGGTTCGATTGCCAGGAAAATGTTGAAAGAATGGAATGTCCCCCGGAAAAGAACAAAAAAAAAAAAAAAAACGAAAAAAAACATGTCTTGCTTGATTCGGAGCTTTCCCTAGCTTCATTCCCAAAACCCTTTGGCTCGGTTCCCGCGCCACAGCAAGACCATGTCCCCAACTCGAGACTCTCAGGTGCGGAACGGCTCTCTCACCAAAGCTAAGAAACCAAAGGATAGACGTCGCAAAACGCTGTTCGGGGGGAAACAAAATATGGAGCTTCAACCACGAACCCAAGCCAAAACCACGAAGACCTGGCGTGAAAACAAAAAAGAGGACGGACGCTTCGCCATCCAACTTGAGATCGGGGAAACAAGAACTGGAACTCCTCAGCAAATCGCCTTGCTGACCAGTATCGAAGGCCACTTCCAAGGGCGTGATCACAGACACAGCGGCCAGCACCAGCAGGAAAATGCCGTCCCAGATCTGGTCAGTTCGATTCGCAAAATCGGGGAACCCTATGCAAGTTTCGTGAAATGGCTCGTCGTCTTTATCTGGCAAGTTGTGTTTTCCTGTTGGTTTCGCCAGGGTGCTCAAATAGCGCTTGGACTCCACAGTGCGGTTGCTCCGGCCGTGTTGGGCAGGAATTGTGTGCGGATGATGCGCACCAAGTACCAGACATGGTTCTGATATCAAAGAGGCCGCGACCCGTCTTGCATCAGCATGTCTTAACATAAGGGGAGGCCAATATTTGTCAAGAAGGATCCAAGATTGTTCAGCATCCACTCATTGGATGGTTTCCCGTCAAAAATGATTGGGTACAACTGAAGATGGCACACGAGGGCGCCATTTTCAAGAATGCCATGACCAAAGATCCTTTAGGGTTTGGAAGAGATGGTCATCAACCCCTCATTTCCCTGAGCTCACTTGCCCAGAAAGGACCCAGAAATGAAAAAGGTGATCAGCTTTTGGGTCCACTAAAACTAGACCCAAAAGGAGAAGCCAAAAGGTCAGATTCGGTCGATTCGCTTTGGGCAACTAAGTTTGTCCTCTAGCCTTGGTTGCTGTTGACCCCCCTTCAGACAGTTGTTTTTTTTTGGGGGGGGGGGTTTAGTGAAACACCCGCCTTTACTTCGATTCGCTTTGGTTGCAACTAAAGGCTTCAAGTGCCTGGGCTTTAAGACTTTTCAGGAAGACCAGTTCACATGACCAGCTTGGACTTGTCTTGGCGCCAAGACCCTGTTTTTCAATGGGATGTCGGAGAATGGTAAGGGATTCAGGGAAGCGTGACGGCAACAAACCAACAAACCTCCACGGAAACGTCTCGTTTTTCCTTTGTGCACTTTGGGATGGTGAGTGAAGGCTCAAGACTTTTGCTGGTTTGAAGGTGAAACCAAGAAATTTCTTGCCCAAAAAGGGCCGAGTGCCCAGCAGCTGAGAGTCTGGACACCGAAAAAACAAAAAGCCGGGCCCCGGCCTCCAGGAAATAGGAGGTCTCCGGGCTGAGGGTTCGGTAGTGAAAGACGAGGCGCTTCTTTGGTGCTTTCTGGGGCTCGGAGATGTGGCCTGATGAACGGGTGTCCCCTTGTGGTTATTCATTACTTTGGGAGGGGAACAACCCTAATATAGGATGGAATTATTAACCTAGGGATTTGAAGAAGACAGTGCGAATCGGCCGGGAATGCCGTTGAAAAGAACGGGGATACACTCGCAGAGAAGTGCCACCCAATTGTTTGCACTACGTGTCTTGTAGATCCCCAAGGTTGTCCCTTTTGTTCCAGGTCCTTTGCGCGAGTGAACATGTCCTAAACTCAGTTGCCCCAAGACGTCCAATTGGATGGAGTACGGTTAGACCTTTTGCTCGGGAGGAGTGTGGCTTTAGCGCAACCAAGAGGCGCTTCGCTTTTGGATTGCGGCGAGCTTTGCCTTTGTTGTGTTGTGCGGATGCTGCCAGGAACATTGGGCCAACTGGGTGCAACATGGCACAAATCACGATTTCTGCCCAAACGGAAGCTAACAGGCGGTGACGGCTATCTAGGCTTTTTCCTAGAAGGGTACAGGCATGGTTGTAGAAAACGCATAGGGCACCCCACGTTCTCTGATACTGCGGATGGCCGAAAGCCTGCACCACCAAGAAACCCTGGCATGATGAGTCCCCTGTAAATACCAATCAACAATGGCTTCCTATGGTTTTTCAGTGGTGCAGGGTTTTATACAATTTATACATCCACAGTATTGCAAGTGCTGGAGGACAACCCTGTAACTTACCTCATGCACCATGGTTTTGTGGTATACAGTTGATCAGGGCTCAAAAATGAAAATCGCAGGCACCCCTCACAGAGGTGCCATGTTAGTGGGAACAAGGCTATGTGATTTACATATACATATATATATATAGTCACGCTCATCCGGAGCAGCCGCGGAAGACATTCCTTGCGTATATACCCTACAAGGCGGGCTGGCTCGTTTGCACACCCCCTCGTTACATACCTTCGTCAACACCGCCGGTCACGTTCCCAACCCCCGACGGGCCCAGTGACCCCTTTTTCGGCGTCACCTGGCTTGCAGTCGCAACTTTCTCTGCGGAAGTGTCAAGCGCTGTTTTCCCGCTACATGCCTCCATATCAAGATGTGTGCCGCCTGGCGCGTTGCATGCGCCCGAAAGTCAGCTCCCGCTTGAACCCCGGCTCACTTCTATAATAATCGACCCAGGGCCCAAAAATCACGGTCGGGTCTGGGAAAAGGAGAAAGAAGTGCTGCGGGAAATGATCTTTTGAGAAGGAGCATTTGGCATTTTGCCCTGACCGCTGTGCCATCTTCTGGTTTCCAGATAAAGCCAAAAACGCGTGCAAGTGAAGCCCAAAACATGGCACCCCACATCCCGGGCCAAAAAGCCTTCGTGAACATGTCTTGGAATCAACATCACACTCTTCTGAATACATGGGTATGTCCAAACCTCCACCTGAACCCTCAAACTGCACGAAAAAAAAATCGTTCTTGCTCCCCAACAAAAAGTTGGGGGTGAAGGTCCTTTTCTTTTTGGCAGTTTCAAGGTCCAGGCAGTGGCCGGGCAAGAGATCTGCATTTCCGTGGTGGTCGTTTCGTGTTTTTGTTTGAAGAGCAACCCGTCTAAGAAACTGGAAAAACCCGGCACCTGGGTTTTGGTCTGGGTATGGCAGCAACAGAACCGAAGGAACCAAACAGAAAAGCTTGTTCGGTGAAGTATTGGCCATGCCCGACGTCTCAGCCAAGATGCTTTGCAGAGAGTCGCTGGGAAACTTCCGGTATCCTAAGCATGCAAAGCCCAAGAACCCCGCCTTTCAGACTACACCCCCCATGTCCAATTGGACCCGAAAAAAAGTGTTGGATTATCTTCGTGCTTTCAAAGTTTTAAACTTAAACAACCAAACAACAAGGTAACACGCGCACAAACACGCCCACCAGTAAAACGCAAACACGGACCAAACAAGGAACAGGGACAGGAACACAAACACAACCACAAACACGGACGTGAACAGAACCGGAACAAACACACGAACGAACGAACGAACACACACACACACACACACCCACACACATGGGGGTCTGGGAAAATTCAAGAAAACCCCTTCCCCTTTTGGTTTCCTGGAAAATGACACCTCCATCTGCACGAGCTTCCTGAGTAAAACTGCTTCATAGATGCCCATGAAAACTTTGGAGAGGAAAACCAACGAATCTTCGTAAGCACATGCCAACACATGCAAGCCATATGCGCCATCCATCACGGCCGCCGATTTTGTCGATCCAAGACGCGTTGGCCCATCTCCGCGTCCGGTACATCTTCGAGCTCGTCCCTAGCCAAGAGATCTCCAACGGACGGCTTCCGAGGGCTTGTGACTGAGCAGCCGGAAAAACCGGGTGTGGACAAAATTTGCAAATCCCGGTTGGACGGTCCCCAGAAAAACGGGGTGTCAAATGTCGACCAAAGTTTGAGCTCCCTGAATTCCATCGATCGGAGAGCCGCCCTGAGGCAGAGTAAGTCGGACACCAGTTGGCCGGGCGATCAATCTGACGGCAAGGGGGGCATGGCTAGATGAATTAGGCATGACTTCATGGGAAGCGAAATTCTCTGGTCAACCAGACTGCCCCCTTTGTTCCGGATCTTCTTCTCCTTTCAGGGCTTCTTCCTCTCGAAGGACCTAGCTCCTGTCACTGGGCCTAGAAAAGAAGACTTATCAACAAAAAGCTTGCAAGCCCCCACCGAGCAATCAGCCTGCTTTTTCAACCATCAGTCGACGTTGGGTGTTCAAAGCGGCCTCGGGAACAAGTAGAGCCAAGATGGAACAAAAACCAACCTTCCACTTGCGTAAGATTCCTGGAAGTAGAAATATATATATATATATATATATATATGGTCACCCCCCCCCCCAGGGCCTACCTTTGCCCTCTTCTAGTTGAAGGTGTCAACTCTACTCTGTGTGCCTCTTTCTTGCAGATGCCTGAAAACACTGTAAAATACAGTGTTTTTGTTGCTTTGCTACCTTCTATGTGACAGCAAATGTCTGATTATTTGAGGCTTGAAAGGCAGCAAAGCGAAAACGGATTCCGTTTTCAGATTCGAGCCTGGCTTTGATTGAATCACTGGTTTTTACAGTGGTTTTGAGTACACCAGGGAAAAGCATTGAAAAAATGATGTTTTTGGCAGCTTCGAGCTCTGCAACCTGCACAGACCCAAAAGCACAAAATCTCCTGAAAATGAAAGCTCTGAGACCTGCACATGCCAAACACATCTCCAGACCAAGTTTGGGAGTCTGGGGATATGTGCCCTTTATTTGTTTAGCCACATTTAAGCTAAATCATATTTGGGAATGAGTTACTATTAAAATTTGATTGCAAAGGCCAAGTGATTTCTTTCCAGAATAAGCTATATTCCAATTCAAGCTGTATTTGGGGATGGATTCTTGATCAAATTATTATCACGTCGCTCTTTTCACTTTGTGCACATGAAGCCTTTGGTTGATCAAGAGAAAAAGAGCCCCACTGCGTCTTCGCGGGTTCGAGGGTTATGAGCCCAACGCCATGAGTGAAGGCTCGATGCAGACGCCTTCCGACAAGGACCTCCAGCTGGCTCTCGTGGCTCCGCAGGAGGAGAAGGCGGAGCACCCTGAAGGTGCACCTCAGGCCTTGGGGCCGCAGATGAATCCCTTCTGGTCGCAGCGGGCATGTGATGAAGCCATGCTGAAGGCCATGAGGCCGAGCACGCTCCCGGAGGACCAGGGTGGAGATGCCCAGGTGGCCGTGCAGGCCAGCCCACCCAGGGAGATCACTGGCGCGGAGCTGGTGAAGGGGGTGGTGGAGGAAAATGAACCAGATGCAGAAGGCCAAGGATCGGGACTACCAGTCCATGCAGGCCTCCTTCACGGAGAAGTTGGTTGGGGCCGCAATGAGTGGCCCGGATGCTGCTGGACCCGGTGCTTGGTGGGCTGAGGCCGCCGGTGGAGGTTGGCCGCAGTGGGCATGGCCTGGGGCACAGAGCTCTTCAGCCTTGCCGGCTTGGGGTGGAGATGGACCGACTTCATCACCTGGCCTTGGAATTGGGTCGACTGCCAAAAAGGCACTTCTGGACCTTCTAGGTGGAGTTCGTGGATGGCCTCCACAGGCCGCTGGCGATGACCCGCATGGAGCTGGTGATCAAGGACAGCCAGATGTACAGGCCTTTGGTTCCGCCCGCGCTCATCATCCTGGGCATCAACAAGGGCAAGGTTCAGGAGTCCCTCATGGTGCTGGTTCTAGCGGCAATGGAGCCGGTGGTGCTGGGCCGAACGGCAATGGAGCCGGTGGTGCGGCAATGGAGCCGGTGGCGGGGCCAGCGGGGGATATGACGGCGGTCCTGGCGGCAATGGAGCCGGTGGATTTCCGGGTGGTATGGGAGGTGGACTTCCTGGCTATCCTGGAGGTGGTGGTTGGTCATTTTCCTGGAGGAGGTCAGGGTGGTTCCGGTGGAGGGCTTCCTGATCATGTTGGACATGGCGGTTTCCCGAACGGCCATTTTCCTGGAGGAGGTGCTCCTGGTGGTGGGCCTGGAGGTCCACCTGGCGGTCCCTTCATGGAGGAGGCGGTCAACTTCCTGGATGGCTGAACGGGGTAATGGCAGGTCAGGAGGCGGTGAGAACGGTGGAGCTGCCGGAGTTGCAGGACCTCGCAACAGCCGAGCAGGACATGGGGCCTTTGCTGGCGGGAGATTGGATGATGATGATCTCGCCCTTCATGTCCGACCTCTCGTCATCTTCGTCTGCGTGGTGGCAGGAGGTGCTTCGGGTGGCGAATGAATGCTACCAGCGGTGGCTCAATGCGGATCCTCTTGAACGTCTTCGGCTTCTTCCGGAGGCGTTCTTAGCGTTTTCGAGGGCACCTTGGCTACGCATTGAGCAGCGGGGCCAAGTCGCCTTGCTGAAGGCGGTGCCTGAATCTCTACGAGGTGAACTGATTGCCCAGCGGAGGGCGGACAGCATCTCCATCATCTTCAAGGTCTTGAAGACCTACCAGCCTGGAAGCCTGGCCGAGAGGAGTTCCTTGCTTAAGCAGCTGGTTGACCAGCGCATCCCCTCGGGCATCGGCGAATGGCTGTCTTCTTTGAGGACGTGGCGAAGGTGGCTAGTGCGGGTGACGGAACTACGCATTCAGCCTCCTGATCCAGTTCTTCTTTTGGCCACTCTGGACAAGTTCGCGGTGGTCCTTGGAAAGATTTCTGCCCAGGTGTCGTTCAGGCTGCAGATAGCTCGGGCAGCACTACGGGTGGACGTGGCACCATCGCCACATGGAATCCTGCAGTTTGCGGACACGCTGCAGGCGGAAGGGGAGACGGTCTACCACGGAGGTGGGGCGTCGACCAAGGAGGCTGTGAAGGCCAAGACCATGGAGGTCAAGGACACGCCCAAGGCCTACGACCGGGACTACAAACCTCGGGAGCCCGACAGGGAGAAGGGCAAAGGCAAGGGCAAGGGGAAGAGCACTGCGGCCTGCAGGTACTTCCTCTCGGAATCAGGTTGCAAGAAGGGGCAGGCGTGCGGCTTTGCTCATGAATGGGGGGAAGAAGGCAAGATTGGACGATGCTGGCGCTGTGGAAGCAGTCAGCACATGAAGCCGGACTGCCCAGTGAGGGAGGTCACAAACCCCAAGGTGAAAAAGGAGAATTCTCCGGTGAAGGAGAAGGACAAGTCCGAGTTTGAGGAGGTGGCAGTGGAAGGGACCAAGGTCACTATTTTGTCGCCCTCGCCTTCGGCGGCTCCACCTACGGAACAGGTGAATGGAGAGCTGGTGAAGGAGGCGGTGCAGCTTCTCAGGTCATTGAGACCCCGGACGAAGCGCCGTGAAGGTCAGTTCGATGCGGGAGGGCAGTGGAGAGAGGGCTTTGCTTGATGGCGGGGCTACTCATGTCCTTCGGCCGGCTCGCTCCATGGAGGAGTCAGGATGCGGTGCCCATCCAAGTGGAGTTGGCGGCGGGTGAGGTGACCTTGAGGCAGGACCCCGCCACGGGCACGTTGCTCACGGACTATCCGGTCCAGACGATCATTCCCCTTGGGAGGATTGCGCGCCTGGGCTACAAGATCTTGTGGCAGCACGAGGAGTTCGAGCTAAGAGACCCTCGGGGCGTGGAGATCCCGGTGGAGCTTGAGCTGGGCTGTCCCACAGTGGCGCAGGAGGTGGCAACGGAGCTCATCGAGCGCCTGGAGAAGGAGGGAACGGAAATGCAGAGGCGCCTCAAAGCCCTGAGGGCGGGGGAGCCGGGGGAGGTCAACTCCAAGGTTTGGAGGTGGATGGTCGACATCAAGGAGTTGTGGCCGGACCTCTCTGATGAGATGATCGTGAGGATTGTGCCTTCCGGCCAATGGGAAGGTGCTCTGCCCTGGAATAGGAGGCAGAGGAAGAAGTTTTTGTCGAGCCCATCCGTCATCGTGCACTTGTTCTCTGGGCCGGATCAGAGCTGGTGGAAGAAGATGATGGAGACCTCATCCCGGGTCATGCTGTGCGTGGATCGGGAGGTGAGCAGCGGCCAGGACTTGTTGCTGGACCAGGTTGCAGGATTCTTGGCGGAGGTATGCGAAGGAGGTGCAGTTGATGCCCTGCAGGGTGGACCCCCTTGCCGTACAGTGTCGAGGCTTCGGCATCAGCGACCCGGCCCACCGGTTCTGAGAGCGCGACACGGGCCAGAGAGGTTTGCGCTGGACTGCCTCAGTGAGGCGGATCGAGAGCTGGCCCTCAATGATGCGACGCTGTGGTTTAGGCAGCTGTGGTTGTTCTCCCTGGCTCAGGGAGCGAGGAAGGAGAAGGTGCGCTTCCTGAAGGAACACCCTCGAGATCCTCAGGAGTACAAGGCGAAGTCCGACAGCACCGACTACCCGAGCTTCTTCGCCTGGCCTGAATGGGCCTCCTTCAAGAAGAAGTTCGACATCAAGGAGGTGAAGCTGGACTTGGGTGGCTTAGGCCACGAACGCCGCAAGCCCACTACCTTGGGCACGAACATCAAAGCCCTAGGCCTTCTGGATGGCCTTTCGGCGGCGAATGTGGAGGGGAAGAACGTGATGAACATCCCCCTGGAGCAGAAGGTCAAGGAGACCAGGTCTTGGGCCGCATGGCCTGAGCCCTTCAAGCTGAAGATTGTGGAGGGTCTTCGTCTGGAGTTGGAGCACCCGGTGGTGTCGAAGATGTCGAGCGATGATTGGGCCCGGCATCGGGCGCTGGACCACATGCCGTTCAACAGAGAGTGCCCGGAGTGCCTGAAGGGTGCTGGTCGTTCACGGCCCCACAGGCGCATTCCTGCACCGGACACGTTTACGCTTTCCCTGGATTTGTG